TCAAACCCGATTACATACATTTTTATAAAACATGAAAGGGAGTCACAAAATGTTGAATACAATCAAACAAGATTCTTTTCCGTCGCACGACAGTGTACAATTTGCATGTACGTGTTTGATTCTATACATTTTTACCAAACATGAAAGGGAGTCACAAATTAGTTTACAGAATATACATCTTTAAGACTCTTGTTGCGTGCTTTAAATCATCACATGATATCAAACATCCTTTAGAATAAGAGTAATTAACGCATGGCCGTCAAATAAGTACGCGTCAGTTGTGCGATTACACAAATCTTTGTCAAAGTCTGATCTTTCTTTTTGCCCTCTGTTATTATTAAACTGGTAGAAAAATGCATACTAAATTCAAAGAGACCCACCCATAGTAACCCTTTAATAAGAACAAATAAACTGTTTTCATGAAGACAAAGAAACCCATAATTTGTTTTCTATGTTGACTAGTATAATAGTACATACTAGTAGTAAGAGAATTTTTAAATCAATTCGTTCAAGGCAAAACATCGTGACATACAAAATAACAAGAGCAAAGCAAAGCATGAATTGCCATCCCTTCGAAAAGAGCGCTAGCACAATTTATCTAATCAAGATATAATTGGACATCGATCCCGATTCATATAAAGTAACTTCCGTTTCGCACGGATATCACAAAAACACATGTACAGATGATTGCATTACTTTTTCCCCCTTTAATCTCTGTTGCAAGGGAGTAATAACTTTCTCCTACCATGTCCTTTAGACCTGCCTGATATATAGATATACTAATGTATATACATGTAATTTAATTTTTGAGAAGAGGTTATTTCGGAAACGATACACCGTCTTAAAACTCTTAATATTACTCATCCTCTTTTGAGGGTGGTGCAGATAGCTATCTGAGTTTATTAAGTTTAATTATTTTAGAGAGCAGACTTTAATATTTTCCCAGCAAATATCTTCAGCAGCATTTAAGTGTCGAGTACCTAATTTTCTTTTACACCAAATACTTAACTGTTTACTTCTGTCGATATCAAATTGATTTTCATTTCCCCTGAAGAACATGTTTTGCAATTTCAAGAAATAAATAACTTGCTCAAGTCAAGAAAAATTATTTACAAATAGTCTTAAGGACTTGCAGCTACTTCTTTCGTGAAAGATATACTATAGTAATGAAGTCAAAATATCGTCCCCTTTACAAAATACCAATTGATGACAATTCCCTTTTCGTTTGCCTATTAACTATTTATCCTAGTAATATAACAAATCCACTCACCTACTTGTATAGAAGTACACAATTCGCGTGTACTATTATTTTATTTCAAAGGAGGGAGGGAAATTTTTCACGGTTTTTTCCCATATGTTTATCGTTTATAAAGATACATCGTAACTACTCCCATTTTTCCCAACAGATCAAACTAGGCTTATCGTTTTGATGAACAAGTGACCTTAAATGAAATCTAATAACTCATTTACTGTAAAAATTGTGTGTTCATCATAATCTCTTTACCTCTTTTACAGATATATACATTTACAAAAAAGAGGCAAATGATTCGGACATAGGATTTAATCAATCTTATATGACGAGGACATGAACTTTGCCATTGTAAATCATTCGTAGTTTTTTGTCAAACAGATGTACAGAGTAGTGTTATTACTGGGTCTACAAATTAAATTATTTATTTATTTATGGATTACCTTTTGGGACCATGCTGTAGCCGAATCATTATATTAGTTGCCGTTATGTAACCAAGAGATAATGTCTTTACAATCAATATTCTTTATATCATGAATTTAATCACTTTTCCCCTGCTTTTATCGAATATAATGCGACTTTTTTTAAATTTGATTTAATGGAAATTCAATCAACAGCACGTATAGTAAAGAAAGAAATTAAAATTCTTGAAAAATTGAAATATTCTGGGTTCATTTAAAATTATTTGAAGTCATCTTGGTATATTTAACTTCCTTTAGTAGCTTGATTAAACATTCAAAATTGTTTAGCAAAATATTTTAAAATGTTTGGAAAAATATTTTCAATTTTGCTAACATAACAAAACAAAACGAAAAAAAAAATCTTTGGTATTTCGGGGCTTAATAAGATTATCCACGTTTATAAACACAACAGGGGCTAGACTTTCTCGTTATTTTTCTTTCACGAGATACAGAACCCATCTAGCATGTTCAAGACAGCAAACAGACAAACTCTAACTTTTTACACGAGACCTGGATTTAATTTCTGTTCAGTCTGGATCAAGATCCGATTTCAATATTTTTCTTTGTCTTGCCTAAGAGAAGAAAATACAGAAATCCGTCTCGTATTTCCTAAAAGTGAATTTTTTTTCTTCAGAGCTTTTTGTTTCACTACAAACTGAAATCTGTCTCGTATTCCTTAAAAGTGATTTTTTTTCTTCAGAGCTTTTTGTTACGCTTCTTATATATCAGAATGAATGTAGTCACGGAATTTTTTTAACTTGATAAATCTGCCTTTAGCAGACATGCTGACCTCTGAATGGATTTTACAACAATCCGAGTTTGCCGATACAGTCAGTGCGATTTATCCTGAACAAGTAATAAAGCAGTGTCAAAGCTAAAGTATGGAACGCCATAGCTGCCTTAAGGTCAATTTTTGATGATATGCAGTTGTTAAATCATTATATGATGTTGTTAAAACATTATATGATGTGGTTAAATCATTATATGATGTGGTTAAATCATTATATGATGTGGTTTTATCATTATATGATGTGGTTAAATCATTATATGATGTGGTTTTATCATTATATGATGTGGTTAAATCATTATATGATGTGGTTAAATCATTATATGATGTGGTTAAATCATTATATGATGTGGCTATATCATTATATGATGTGGTAAAAACATTATATGATGTGGTTAAATCATTATATGATGTGGTTAAAACATTATATGATGTGGTTATATCATTATATGATGTGGTTATATCATTATATGATGTGGTTAAATCATTATATGATGTTGTGAAATCATTATATGCAGTGGTTACATCATTATATGATGTGGTTATATCATTATATGGTGTGGTCACATCATTATATGATGTTGTATTTTTATATGATGTTGTTGTATGAGTCATTACCACTGAGGGCAGTTGTACCTGTAAAATTGTCAATGTAGGCCAATTTACCCCTCCACTCTCTGATCTCAGTGCTAACCCATATCTGTCATTGAGTCCCTTCTAGGCCTGCTAATGAGGTTTAATAATTCCTGTTTCCCATATTTGCTAGAATAGATTTATAGCATAGTTTGATAAAAAGTTACATACAGACTTTACTTGATCTCATGCTTATATTAAATTTGCTCATATTGTGATATTGTCTACATAGACAAAATATAAAATATCCCAAAAATTCCAATTGATCAATTTGTCGATTTAATAAGTTTTTAAAATACATTGTACATCTGTTTCATTTTAATTTAATGAGTTCCCCAGGAGTTACTTTGTATTGAGATGCACTTGTAACCTTATCTTGGTGTAAGCCAATTTAGCTCGATCTCTGAGTCTCCTAGAACTGGGTTAACATGTTGACATTTATGTAATGGCAATATGTAACGCAACGTCTAGAGACAAGGAAGGGAGTTTTAGAATGGAGTATGGAGTTGAATCAAATTTTGATTGGTTGTATGTATTATGCCCCATTAGTCAGATAGATTTTGAAGTCTAACATCAAAATCATAAAAAAAATGAATTTCTTACATGAAAGCAAGAACTTCCAATTTTTGCTGAAAGATAAGTTTAGAGCTACTTGTTGAACCTCCAGTCCATAAGTTATATAATGCCATTTGAAACAGAGCTATCTCCAAGACTCAGCAAACTTGGATTTTATTTCACATTTTTAACAACACCATATAATGATTTTACCACACCATATAATGATTTTACCACACCATATAATGTTTTTACAACTGCATATAATGATATAACCACATCATATAATGATATAACCACATCATATAATGTTTTAACCACATCATATAATGATTTAACCACATCATATAATGTTTTTACCACATCATATAATGATATAACCACATCATATAATGTTTTAACAACATCATATAATGATATAGCCACATCATATAATGTTTTAACCACATCATATAATGTTTTTACCACATCATATAATGATATAACCACATCATGTAATGTTTTAACCACATCTAATGATTTAACCACATCATATAATGTTTTTACCACATCATATAATGATTTAACAACATCATATAATGATATAACCACATCATATAATGATTTAACCACATCATATAATGATAAAACCACATCATATAATGTTTTAACAACATCATATAATGATTTAACAACTGCATATTACGATATAACCACATCATATAATGATTTAACAACTGCATATCATCAAAAATTGACCTTAAGGCAGCTATGGCGTTCCATACTAAAGCACACTGTTCGAGAAATATTGCATTAATGACTTTATATAATTGATCACTTGACAATCATAAGCAACGTTACGTCTTCATATAAATGCATGCGACTAATGATTTTGTGTTTGATAACAGGTATATGGGCTTTGACGGTCACCTGTGTTGCGAGAATTACTTCAGGTACAGTACTCCCTGCTCGAATCTAGTCGAGAAACTCAGAAACTATATCAGGGTCCATTTTTACTAGCCAAGGGTTTATGAGGAGGGTAGCGTATCAGAAACCCTTGGCTGTAGCGAAGATGGTCAGAGACATAAATTTTTATAATTTAGCAAATTATTTTTTGATCATTATCACATTGCAATGAGTTTATTGGAGGTAACTTCAATATTGTATGATACATGTATATGTATGATAATTTCTTTCATAAACGAGGAACTTGACGTCACCAAAGGACGGGTCGATGGGCAGAGTGATTAATGGCAAATAAAAACATTTAAACATGCATCTCGAACTTGATTAAAAAGTTTTTTTTTGTTTGAATTGTATTAGGTCTTTATCTTACCTGCCGCCACCAATTGGAATCACTTCCGGTCTTCGTGACGATGCAAACAATCACGTGACTCACTGGTAGAATGACGCCACAAACTACAGCCAGAAATGTCCTCAGCGGCACCAGCGAGTAAATAATGAACACTACAAAGACAATCTGCCACACGCCGTCTGCGTGGGTATACATGGGGCGGGGCGCCAAAGGATGGTCAAGATCAAACGGAAACGAAAGCACAGCAAAGCAGATCATGAAAAACAAAATCACGTGAACCACGACTCTAAAATGGACTTCTCGCATACATTCGTAATTGAAAAGAAAAGATAGCAATAGAATGAACATTGAGATGAAAATAAGACACATCACTCCATGACAGATGCCATAAATAGTAACATCCTGAATATACGCAAACTCCAGGGCTGACAGTGTTGCTGTGAGAAGTATGAAGACGCCCAAGGTATACCGAAGAGCGGATTGTTGGAGGTTGTAGATGTACTTTTGGTATAATTTCTCGAGTTCCTCGCTTTTGAATTTGTACGGACTTAGCCGACGCTTCATATTAAGTTTTCTTTTTGTCAGAGGTCTGTTATCCCCTCCCCCATCCATTTCTGTGTCCGTTTCGTCCGCACTGTTGTTTTGCATCTTTCCGGAAGTGTTCCTCTACAGTTCCGATCGCTCTACCTTAATACTTTTTATCTCCGTCGCATTTAGTCCACACTAAATTTTTTTTGCACAGTGTACTTTCAGTCCAGGTACAAAATCCAAGTCCAAAACTAAAAATCTCAATGTATCCATTTCCTAAAATTGTCACACTTTTAAATTTCTTCTGGCTGTTTGGAATAGTCTTTTGATTCAAATCACTCCTTGTATGAAAAAACCTTGACTTCGATTTTTCTGCTTCTCTCAGCGATGTTTCACTTTTGTCGTGTCTAGATCGTAGTATTTGTGCTGACTGAGTTACCTGCTAAAATAATATAAGGTTTCAATAATCAATCGGTACAAACGGGTATATTTATATCTTTATATAATTACATTCAACACCTCGTTAATATCATTATACAACTTTGTAGAATTGTGTTAATACAGGTATGAATATTTGATCACAACTCGCATAAATGCTTACTAACAGTTTTTACTAATATCTAAATAAATACCCCACGCTAAACTCCACATTAATGTAATTCTTTATAGATTAAATGTTCTTCGATCTTATGTTTTTATCGATACACCTCTGGCTTTTTATTTTTTTCTGAACACTTCTGGTTTTATCTTAGTCTGTAAATCTATTTTCAGGTAACGAAGCATAAATCTAATTTACTCTGGCGAGTTCACTTACAGGCCATATAATGAGTTAATGGATGTTTAGCAAACGCTGAATGCAAATTTTTTGACCTGACCTGTTACAATTTAAGTTTCGGCATGCTTCAGTTTAAAATCAGAATATTAGATAGAATAATGTCGGCTCTATGATGATATATATAATAACTAACAAACTTAGATCAATATTTGTTACTACGTATATCTGTGACAAACATTGTCTGAAATTAAGCTCAATGTCAAGGCAAAATTGTCTTTTATACATAAAAAAGTTAATTATCATTCAAAGAATTATAATTGAAGTATTCTTTCCAAATTTTTAACTGTGTCACATTATGCTATTGAATTATTGTCACTGTACGCTTAAAAAATTCTTTAAGCTAATAAAATATTTTTAACGGCGTGTTTGAAATTTTTACAAGAATACCTTTCTGTCATATCAATACATTGTATATAATGTACATTTAGAACATAATGCAGTTCGGAATGTTCTGAAATACATACAAGTATAATTGCCCGTATATTCCGTGTTACACGGTCACGACCTGCCCTTTTGCTCAAAATGTCACAATGCAAGTCCGAAATATCTGAAGTTTTCCAGGTTTTTCACTGTTTTAATATTTCGACGTTTTCCTGGCAGGTAAAATATCAAAATATTAAAAAAAAAAAAAAAAAAAAAAAAAAAGCCAGGAAAACGTCAGATATTTCGGACTAGAAGAGAGAGAGAGAGCATAATTTTGACCAATACCAACACCTTATATGTACATTCGATCGTTATACCTCGGTATGATTCTTGCTAAATGGTACAAGGTACATTTTGGGGTATTGCGTTGGCCGTTGGGGGTTGGCCAATGGGAATGACAATATAAGGGGCTCGGGAGTTTCTGGTGCCAAAGGAAGAACTGTGATTATCAGAAAAATAAGAACAGGTCAGCAACAGAAGCCTCTTGAATCTTGATGATTTCTGGTGCCTCGAAGGAAATTAAAAAAGTACTATAAACGATCGTATGAGTACAAAAGAACAACCGATCGACAACCATTTTAGAGGGTTATCTGAACAAGGTACTGAAAGAAGTTACATGTACCTTAATGCTCCTCTTCCTTACAATTTTGTCTCCCTTGTCTCACTTTTTGCTTCAAACATTGACTGTACAAGTCTGCTATATGACTTACAAGAACACACAAATGGTTTTATAGAGCAGAATTCTAAATACCCGGTATTTGGATGACGCTAATAAATTATTACGTATTCTGCTTTATTTAGTTTATTAACACTTATCATTTTAAGCCTAAATGTCGGGTTATTTTAGTTCCATCTTGGTTTATATTAAGATTTGACATAGATCACATATAGCCCTAATAATAAAATGACAAATTTCTTATACATGTTCAAGTGGCATTTACTCCCAAGGACAGCAATATAATGGTTGCTAAGACTAAAACTTCATCTTCAAAATTTTGAAAATTTTGCTTAAGTAAAAATTTTCAATATTTGTTGACAATTTTACCTACGTGACAGGCAGACCTTTCAGCACGTACACATATATCCGTAATCTATACCAAGAGGGCATATGCTTCAAACCTGTACGACTATCAGCAGACCTCCACATAACTAATGGGTATTTTCACGGACAACTTGACGGACAAGAGACCCCTAGGGCGGTCAGTTCACGCCACGGCGGTCTACATCTGATAAACAATGTACGATAACAAAAATTTAACGGCAAATGTTGACCAAAACAACATCCGAAGAAAATCAATTCATATTTTTTTCATGACGTTTAAAACTTGGAGAACATTATGCTTTTTTTGGAATCACTAATTTCCGACGTGATTATGCTGTCTGCAATCTATATAGACCGTTCATTTCCAAGACTATAATTTTCTGGCATCAACCGGTATTTTCATTCTTTTTAAGCTTGTGAATGCGTAAATTAGATAACTAAAGAGACAACATAAAAAAAGTCCATTATCAGCAATATGCAATAGGCAAAGAAAAATCAAATAGTCCATCGAGTACTTACATGAAAGTCTATGAATATTATTAACCTAAAAGTATCTAAGAATTCTGAATTAACCAGCACGTGTAACTTAAATTTTAATAGGATTGTTCCGATTTTGCAGCAAAGGAAAATATTTTCCTTTGTACGTGAGAACCAGATTTCCTTTCTTTTGATCCTTCAAACAAAAGAATTCTTGATAGCGCATCACCGACCTTGGATAACAGAAAATAGATTCAGATGTGGCCACCACTAAGTTTTACAACGAAGTCTGGAATCTTATTAACACAGCTAAAAAGAAAATATAAAGAACCGAATACGCCATCAATGAAGAAACCAAAAGCTTATAGGAACCAACGTAATATTAAAGATTTTAACTCTTCTTTGTTAGATCACGCAACATAAAAATGTCATTTCCGTTATAATGTCGTAAATCGCGCGGCTTGGGGAGCGATGTGTGAAGTCTTTAAGAGTACGTTTCTGATTTCTGGCATTCCATATTGCGTAGGCCACTACGGTAAAATGCTGAATGATTTCCAACTGACCAGCAGAGAGCGGTGCCATTGTTTTTTTATTGATGAGAACCAATATATCTCAGTCTTAACGACCGCTTGATTTTCAGGAAACATTTAAGGAGGCCTGTTAACACGTCATTGCTTAAAGAAAAGGCAAATGGGGGTGCCATTAATCTTTATTTACTAAGACGGTCTTAACGATGACGTCATATGAACGCAATTAAGGGGTCTCTTCTTCTTAGCAGAGATGAGCTTCGATTGGGGAAAAAATCAAAAGCTAGCTCGAATCTAAATAATTTCTTTGGAAAGTAATATAAATTAAGTTTAATAAGTTCTATGAAGGTCTACACCTTTAATGTTTAGATACAAGAATTTATATTATGGGTCATTAAAATATTTAGGATTCTCTGTCCTGATTAATTAATATTTTGTAAATTTGAAAAATGCACCTTTATAAACATTGACTTTTATAAAAGTATTTCATGAAGCCAGATTATGAAAGCTTCGAGTGATATTTTGATGCCTAAGTGCGCGCGGAATTTAAACGATCTTACTCATTAATTTTTTTTATAAAGATATTGTTTTGATAATTGTGTCTATTTCAAATGCCTGAAGTGCAAAAGCGAGCTGGCACCTGCTGTATCGCTATATGTCTGCGGGCACGTGCCAATGATTTTTGCAGCAGGAATGTTTTTATTAACAAGGTCAGAGATCAAAGCCATTCTCTGAATCGTCTGCAGATTTGATGAAGAGATGGACGATTGCTATATGACAGGCTTCATTTTCGGAAATGTTGTTTCCTTCCGTTTCTTTTTTTTTTTGTTTTACCCCCTTAACGATAACCTTTTGTGAACTCCATCCTATTCAAGGGTCTTATCTCAAGGTGATGAAAACGTGCTGAATGGGATTTTCAGTTTAATTTTCCACGAAACGGTTTCAAATATTCTTATCTGTTTAAGGGAAGAGAAGATTCATGGCCATTGGTAACCTTATGTCAGAGACTTAACACCCCGATCTTGACCCCATTTCCCAAAAGGGCAAACCCTGAAATTTCCCCCTAACACCCCTCCCCCATCGTGATCCCCCATTCCCCTAAAGGGCAAATCCTGAAATTTCCCCCTAACACCGCTTACCCTTACCCATTCTCTGAAGGGCAAACCCTGAAATTTCCACCTTACCCCACCCCCACCCTGACCAAATTCCCTGAAGGACAAACCCTGAAATTTCCACCTTACACCACCCCCACCCTGACCGAATTCCCTTAAGGGCAAACCCTAAATTTTCACCTTACACCACCCCCACCCTGACCAAATTCCCTACAGGGTAAACCCTGAAATTTCTACCAAACACCCCACCTAACCAAAGGACAAACCCTGAAATTTCAACCTTACACTCGCCCCCACCTCCTCAACCCTGACCCCTATTACCTAAAGGACAAACCCTGAAATTTCCACGTAACACCCCCTTATCTGACCCCTATTTCCTAGAGAACAAATCCTGATATTTCTACATTACCTTGTATACGATGACTGAGTGTACGTCAGTAAAAGTCAACAAACTTGTACAGCAACATAAGTTATGAGAGAACACACGATGACAACAGTTGTCGGAGCAATATCTCAGTGGTACTGAAACCAAACAGATGTGATACAGTACCAGTCCTTACATTAAATACATGATTCTCTTTCTCTTTTTTCGCATGATGGAAGCGCTTAGGCTTAATGACTTGGATAGAAAAATCTGGCAACCTTTTGTCTAAATATATTACTTGGCGCGCGCGTGCGATCGTACAACAATTAAAAACAGCAAAGGAAGCAGAATTCAAACTCGAGTTTCACCAGTGTGTTTAAAATGGTAACTTGATCAACAGTTATATATACATTATAAACACAAACTCTCTCTCTCTCTCTCTCTCTCTCTCTCTCTCTCTCTCATACGTTCAGCCGTTTAAAAGCATCTCTGAAACCCTCTTAACCCTTTTCACACAAAATTCTTTCTACGATTTTTTTTTGAAAAAAATCAAATTCAGTGGACTTTAATTAAACAAAAAAAATTTTCTCGTTAAACAATGGCCCTTTTTTGCAATAGCTATTTTTTTCCGGAATGCGGACGGCGGTGAATAAGTGATATTGGTATCTGATAACTTTTTCTTCTCGCGGTGTCTGGGTGTTGGGTTACACTGTACTTACAATGTACCTGGAGTGCCTTATCTGTAAATCTGTCTAAAACCTTCTATTTATGATAAATACTGAACTTCTGTGAAAATTAATACAAGTCGGCAAATCAAATTATCTTCATAACGTTAGATAATTGCCAAAATGATTATGCTGCATGAATATTTTCTTTTCAGCGGGGGGGGGGGGTCGTAAAAGGTTTAGAAGGGAGGGAGTATGTGCCTGCCCTACATATCAAAAATTTAAGGCACTTCGTATTAACAATGAAGGGACAGTTGTCGTTTCTTCTTTAAATTTTGAATTTACTGCAAGTTTTCATTCATATTATTAAAACAAAGAAGGTTTATACTTATAATCCAGTAAAGTCATATTCCACGATATTTGCCATGCAGCTAGTGAACGTAGAAAGCAACTAAGAGAACGTGAACACATGGTGAAACTGAACAAAAAAATTACGCTAGTATAACGTTTTAACACACATCAGTTTTATAAACTAATTCATCTATTTATCTTAAATAATTTTTATCTAATGGTTGATTTGAATGATGTGAATTAATCCTGATTCACATCATGGAATAATTACCTCTACAAAGACGTAAAAACGGTATGTAATTTTTTTTCGACAAATTTCCTTTAAACACAATCTGACAGGAGGCAGGTTTAAAAACATCAAAACGTCAACAAAATATCAATTAAACTTAACACTGAAATCCTTAAACTCAAAAATTAAACTTCAAACCGATCAACAGAATCTAATAAACAGATTTACTACCTCTTACCTCAGAATTTAAAATAACACGTTTATTTCCCAGATTTCCTCAGTCAAAATAAAGAGAGGTTTTTCCTTTGTTAAAATCGATGGCCGAGGGGTACCGTGGTAAAAATCCCTCCTTAACACAAAAACTTTGGTTTTCTTATTCCCATGAAAAATCCAAGCGTTAATATCTACCTACATGTTAGATGTACCATCTACTCAAGAGGTATGGCGGTGTTACTACCGAGCGCAAGGAGGAGAAAGATGGGAAAATATTGCAGCCTCCATTTGCTCTCTCTCTCCCTAGTACGCTATCCCTCACGTGTGTGCCCAATCACACAGATGTCGTCTGCAAGGGGGGAAAGTTTGAACACACACGCGAGGAGAATAAAAATTTTCTCCCTCGTCGAAGTTTTTAGTCACGGCCTAAAAATTGTGTAAACAGGTTTACATTTGATAAATAGAAAGAATATTAGCTTTGTTAATCAAACTTATGAATGGAAAAACTTGCTAAACTTACCTGCGCTCAATGTACCTGTGCTGGTTTGTTTACATTTTTCTCCCCGGCCTGTGGGTCAAGGGTCAAAATAACATTAATTTTAGCGAGAAACCGTTTTGATTAATCACTTTCAACCACTGCATTTTGGAAGGTTTATGGAATTATCATTTGACTTAGACTGGGATAGCTAGAAGTCGCGTTTTAAATCGCCATCCCGCGGGCAAACAATGGCTGAATTGTTTGATAAAGGTTGACGATATGCAAAGAGAATTGGGTGGCGAGAAGACGCAATGTATAGCGCGTTAATCTTAAACCGACCCCCAATGGCGTTAATCAATATTACATAAGGAAGCGGTCTCATAACCCGTCGTTCACAGGGGCGGGTCCAAGATTTTTACCTCGGTAGCCAAAAATTTTGGGGGGAAATCTCTGTTCCATGCAGAAAAGATTTTTTTCATCTTTTCTGCTTTGTTTAAACATGTTTAACTTCGAAATTCGGGTAAATATTAGACAAAATACGCTGTTTTATTCTTTTTTACAAAATAAACGGAGGTAGGCAATTACTTGACGAAAGGGTGAATTTAACAGACACCTTTCACATGTTTCACCCCCTGTGCTGAATTGCATGCTCCAGTTTCAAACTTACCATAACATGCATAAGGCGTATGGTATAAATTTCAAGAAAGTTCTTCAAATTGACTTCTTTGTTCTGTACCCAGACCCGTAAGAAATAATTTTCAGTTTCGCGGACACAGTCATACATTTTCAGTTGGAACATTATCAACTACCAAAAATTCCTTGCCAATTAAGCAAAAAAAAAAAAAATAAATAAATAAAAATAATAATAAATAAAAAAGTAAAGGTAATCATGCAGACGTTGTTATTGAATTTTATAATAACTATGGTTTTTAACACCCCATAGTGAAATGTATTTCTCAGATTTTAGCTCAGTATTTGTAAACAAAGCCAACTTTGGCAGACTTTCCATTTATCTCAAGGAGAGTTACCTCTCTTATAACAGAGATTTTTTTTCTTTTTTTTTTTTTTTTTTTTTTTTTTATAAATTTTACACTTGTAGTTATCGCCCTTATCAAAATGCCCGTTCTCTACTAAATTACATGTAAATGTAGACTTGCAAAAAATTTGATATTGATAAAATTAAACTGAAAAATGTATCAAAGTTATGAAGCGTTAATTAATATACATTTATTGACTGAGTTCTCGGGCAACATGCGTTTTGTCGGACCCAAGAACAAATAAACTGTCTGCCTGAAGCCGTTAGCCCGAAGGCAGACAGTTTGGTCGAGGGTTGACAAAACGTATTTTGCCCGAGAACTCGGTCAATAAATGTTTTGTTATACCTTTCTTTTATTTATTTATTTTATTTTATTATTTTTTTTTTTTGACATACACGTATTTTATACTGTCTTCCGTGATGTAACCTCAGGTCCGTCACTGATGAACAACAAAAGAAGAAAAGGAGATTAAGCTCCGCCAATTCTGTGACGTAAGCGGTCCAACATCTCTTCGACCGGTCCAACATCTCCCTCAGCAGTCAAACATCGATTTTTGTATGCCGGGTCAGCAAAACATTAGAAATATTATACTTTTTTCGTATAGATTTGTATTGCAACAATATTTTCTTCAAAAAGGCAATTTAAATAAGTGATAATAAAAAAAATAAAATTAAAAAAAAATATATTAAGACAGACGAAATGCTATAGCGAGGGGTATTCATTTACTAAGTATGATTAAATACACAAAGAATGGTATTTCAAAAGAGAGAGAGAGAAGATTTTTCTCCAAAGATTTATTAATTTCAAGTACGTTTACACATACTTACATTTATTTTCTTCTTAAAGGATCCAAAAATCTGAAGTACATCTGTACTTTATATCTCAATTCAAATTTTCAAGACTGTTTCGTTATTTTAGACTAAATTGTATTTATATCAAACTTTATTTTATCGTATAAAACGATATGAAGCGTATTGATTATGACTACTGAGTATTATCTTGCATCCTTAATTGAAATACAAATAAATCAAATTTGAAATTCTATCTTAAATTATTAAAATATTTAAATTACTCACTCTGTCAAGCTAACTATAAAATTGCACCAAAGAAGATTTTTTTGGTCTCGGGAAAACGTGAATCCATTCGCATTTTAACATAAAATTGTCAGCATCGAAGGAGTTTGGATATTGCTTAGGTGAGCCAGCAGTAGGAAATTGAAATTCTGTCTCTCAATATGATAATATAAAATCAGCTGTTTCAATAAATCAAGCAATCGTGGTTCAATTTAACACATTTTATCCCCATCGTCCTAGGAAATTTATTAACTATATTGGTAACACATGTCAAAGATGTTTGAAAGTTTCCATCTTGAATGATTGGGTTTTTTTTTTTATCTTGGTTCCATGTTAGGCGAATAAATCCGTTACTATCAAAGGTACATGAATTTGAGATTAATGGAAAAATGAAAACTTTGCGAAGAAATAAAAACATGTACATATGCAATGGAATATATTTTCGAAGAGCATGTCTCATTTTTAAACCACCAACCCCGCCCGTCGTTTTGAGCCCCCTCCCCCCTCCCACGAGCTCCAGGTCATTTTTACACCCCCTTCCTCCCCTTCTTCCCACACATGTTTTTTTCATTGGGGGGGGGGGGGTATTTTAGAACTGTGATCATATTTAAAGGCTGCATTTTTCTCTTTACACATGTACTCTCTGTTCTTTTTAGACGGTGGCTATATATAGCCACAGGCTATTGCTGCTGGTCTGGGCTATGAATATTAAACAACATGTAAACACATGGGGACCCTAGCGGAGATTTTTGCAGAGTCAAAATAATGAAAGTAGACACGTTTCTATGTTTGAAAATAAAATGTACATAGTTAACAAATACTTTCAAGTTATTTCAAAGACATTTCGTTGATGGACACAAAGCCTAATTCCTGATATTTGCCGTTATCAATATCTCTCGCCTAATGAATATTCATTGAGTTAAGCCAAACTACAACTAACTCGTACACCAACCGATTCGTATATTCGTATGCAAACTATAGAAGTCAATTCGTACATAATTTTTTCGCTTCTTTCACATCTGCGAAAAGTCATATATCGCGAATTCGACTCCCACTGCGGGACACGCCCTTAATTCAGAATCCGTTTTCGCAGTAATTGCTAGCCAGAAAAATATTCCTCGCTGCTCAAAATTTATTCTCAAAAGGGACGTTAAACAACCATTCATGCCACCGTCTTTCAGTACTCACAGTACTTTGATTCTTATGTTCTATGGATTAGCTTTAATACAGTATTAAATTTATCTTTCTTCAATTTTTATTTTTTAATATCATACCAATTCAAAATTCCGAAATTTTGCCTCCATTTTTCGCAAAGAACATCGTGTATGCACTTTCAAGTATATAGACCTTTTTGGTTACTGAAGACATCTTCGCTGCTATAGGATCCTATCAATTTGGAATTATCGTTCTTTGTATAGGTATCAAGTTATATTAGAATTATCTCTCTTTTTTCAAAGGTTCCTATCAATGTAAGAGTTTTCGCCCTTTGCATAGGTTCCTTTCAATGTTGAGTTATTGCTCTTTCTTCAGGTTTAGAATTATCGCTCTTTGCTTAAATGTTTCTATCAATGTTAGAGTTATCGCACTTTGTACAGGTTCCTATCAATGCTGGACTTGCCACTCTTTGTACAGGTACCTGTCAATGCTAGAGTTATCGCTCTTTGCATAGATTCAATTTTAGAGTCGTAGAGATCCTATCAATCGCTAGCCTAGGGTTTTCTGATACGCTACTCTCCGCTTTTGAGAAGAGTAGAGATTCAGAAACCCAAGGCTTGTGGAGATGTGTTAGAAAGAATTAGAACCATTTTCAGGTAAGCTTGGACTTTCAGTAAGGTGTGGCATTCTAGGCGCTATGTATTTAGCGTCTGTCATATGGTGAATAGATTCTCACTGGTTAAGAAATTAACAACATCAGGAACTTTAAATCGTTGTTAATAACGATGAGACGACTTAAGCTCCACCTCTTTGCCGGATGAGACAATGTTATCGGTTATTCGATACACTAATTGGCATTTGCCCGAATTTCTATCCCATGTTTTTTTCAACAGTGAAGGAAAGCTGGGTAAATTTTAGAAGCTAATTATGCAGCATCGAGAATGCCACGCATTACTGAAAGTCCAACCTAAACTGGAAATGCTTCTACCTATTGCTCTTTCTAAATGTTCATATCAATGTTAGAGTTATCGCTCTTTGCAATTTCACACCACCAGTGATTCATAAAGAGTACTACAGAAACAAGAGGAGTTCATGGGCTATTATGCTCACCTAAGTAACTCACCAGATGTGAAGGACTTTTATATTTCTGTAAGTAATAGTGGTCCAGTATTATGGCTCCAATATAATCATCCATCAGGTCTATGTATCCCCAAAACGTCTTTTTTTTTTTTAAATTTCATCCTTGCACTTGTGGAGAGAAATTCTTTTCCCGACAATGTAAAATTTATCCAAAGTTTTCTTCTACAGTCAAATGTAAAATTTCCCCTCATGTCAAGCCATCACAAAACCAGAGCCTATGATTTGAACAATTTAGAACTTAATTACTATTTGGCTTATGCTATGATTGGTCTATTTTATTTGTAAAACAGATTTCTTTCGGAAAATCATTTACAGTAAAACTGCATTTCATATGAATGAGCAGAGGGTTTTTGAACCTCAATTTAATTTTCCTTCTCATAGATGGCACTCTGTACCTCAGCCATCCCTTTTTTTAAAGAAATGCAAGATTTTTTCTTACTATCACATATAAATTCATTATCTCTGAAAATTCCAGGAAAGAGTCTAGCTTGAACTACATTACACTGTGATTCTAATGGTATTAAGGTGGGATTCTTGTCTGGTTTCTGACAAGAATAACCACAGTCCGAAAAACATGATGTTTTCCGGGCTTATTTTACGATTTTGATATTTTACGTGCCAGGATAAATTTTCTGTCACGTAAAATATCAAAATCGTAAAAAAATCCTGGAAAATGTCAGATTTTTCGGATTAAAATAAATATTGAAAGTACATTTGCTTAACATGTCTTACATATTAAATACGTATGTAAACTGAGCATCGCAAGATTGGTAAAAGTAATTTTTTATGCTTAATGTCAATGGAAAAGAAAATGACATTGCTTCTAAAATAAAACAGTTGAATGGTACCCCATCCCTACTATTATTATATGATATTGTCTTCTTGAATCTGTTAAAAGTTCATCAATTTTAAAATTCAAGAAATATGAGAAGAATCCCTCCTTAATTAATGAATAAATTAAAAGAAAGCTCTCTTTTTTTAAAATTTCTCCTTTTATTGACTCTGTTTTTCACAAAGCCTTTAATATATAATATATTGTGTATGCAATTGATAATAATATACAAATAAAAAAATAATATAGACAAGTGATTATACATTGGCATTAGTGTATGCTGAATGGATATGGAATAGGTTAATGTTAAAGATTGTGTCAAATTTTCAATTTACCCATAATTCAATTCTCATAAAATCCCAACAGCCCCAGCTTTAAAATGTTTAAAAACCCGAACTTAGCATTTTAATGCATCTTCTGAATCAGAATATAAATTTATGGATTTTTTTTCAAAATTAGTTGATTTCATTAATACTCCACTTATATCAAAAATATATCATAAAACTTTTTATCCAAAATCTCACAGCATATACAAGTTTTAGATCAAAATATATATACATGTACATTGTCAAGTAATATCTGATTATTGTTTGAACATGCCCCAAATATTTTTTTTCTTCTACATCACAGATTAAAATAAATACATATTTTTGTACAAATAATATTCAACAGAGCCATCTATCTATGAATTGTGAAAACCCATATTTAGTATTCGGATTTTCAATTAAAAAAAATATTAGAGATACTGGCATAATTGATTTACCTTTGTAATTAATCTAATTAATATATACAATTTTTTTGATCTATGAACACTCTTTTATATATATTGTACATATGCACATCTAAAACAATTAACATACTAAAAAAACAAATAATTATGTTTGAACTGTCAAAGATGAAAACAGGTCAAATGGAATTGCACTTTGTTTGAAACATTTGAATATAGCAAATGCAACATGAAGAATTCTATCTACAGTAAAGTAAACAAAATATATTACAGAATCCTGGAATATTTTTTTATATACAAGAGAAATGCCATACATTTGGACCTATGTAATCTTCACTAAGATTATCTTTGCTACAAGTAGGTTTTGAAAAAAAGGGGGGAGGCTGATTATCATTAAAACATAATATTTATTCTTCAAAGATTATAAAAATATATCTCTTGGTCAATATCATTAAGAAACTTCTTAATTAAATGAACTTCTTTGTTCTCAATAATGACCATGTTTGTTAACAGAAACAGAGATAAAATTTATACCATATGAAATCTATTGGTACATATTTGAAAATTCATACTTATTGACAAAAATATTATCTCTCTTTGCTGTAAGGTGAAATAATACACCAAAAGCAACCATTTTGTTTTGGTGATTAAACTTCTTGAAAGATATAAAATTAAAAGGCTATAAAAAATTATTTTCTTTGATTTGTTCATCTTTGGGGATATGCATACCCAAAACACATTGTATACAAAGTAAATCAATATATTAATTGCTTTAAACTTCAAACCTAAAATTAATGAATAAATTGGAGATGAAAATTGTATGAATTTACTAATGTTATTGTACATTTCATTAAATGTATAATCTTGATCAAATTTCTTTGGAAGACTGCTACAAACTGATTATTATATAAATATGCATCATTATTCATGTTAACCTTTTTGTAGTACAAAATACTATCACAAATATAATTCATTTCTAGCAACTCTGGCTCTGTTTATCACGTTGCCTCACTTTCTGGTTCAAAGACCTTTAACCTTTGACCCTTACAGTTGAACCCTCTCCGCATTCTGCTCCACCCTGTGTCTACTCAGGTTATATTTTGGCGTGAAGCAGACGGATGCATTCAAGAATCCGCTCTTGATTGGCTGTCCCTGTTGCTATGGTTATGACCTCAGTATCTATGGTTACTCATTCACACCTGGACCAGACACCCATTTTGTTTTCTTTACTGGAACCTACCGTGCAAAAAAAAAAAATTATATTGAATCTAAATGTTGTTGAGCACTTAATGCATTCAAATGCCATTTGCATTTTTGCAAGAGTATTTCTTTAAACAAGAGGCCCACAGGCCTTATAGGTCACCTGAGCATCATGCAACAACTTTCAAATGATTGAATTTGGTTCATGTTTCAAGCCAGATGCTAAGGCATTCACAATTCTAAAAGAGGCACCATTGCTAATCATAACTATACACTCAGCAATTGTTTAGTTTGTTTACTTAATACCCATAAGCAGGGCAGGGGAACAAAAAATGCATTTCAAGCAATCAGTAATATTCACCGATATCATAAGTGCCCCTACCACACATGAACCCCAGGCCCTAGGTAAACACACTGCATAATTTTTGAAAAGGCACACTTGCTTATCAATAATATTTGATTAATAATAAGGAGAAGATTTCAAACAATTCATTTTCAGTATATAAGTTAGAGCCCCCCCCCCCTCTTGGGTATCCCTGACACAGGGGCCTTCAAATTTACAATTCTGGAAGAAGAGCCCTTGCACATCATAACTATATAGGTAGTACATCTGTTTATTACCCTGGAGTAGAGAAATAGATTTTCATAGATAAAATGTATTTTTACTATATAATCATTATAGAGCCACTCCGTAACACCATAACCCCTGACCCTGGGGCCATGAATTTCACAATTTTGGTAGAGGCATTCTTCCTCATCATAACTATGTACTTAGTTAGTTTATTTCATACCTAGGAGCAGATAAGAAGATTTTCAAAGAAATAATGTATTTTCACTAAGATTTTCAAAGAAATTTTAATGTATTTTCACTATATAATCAATAGAGCCCCACCCTGACCCCTGACCCTGGGGCCATTAAATTCAAAATTTTGGAAAAGGTTCTCTTGCTCATGATAACTTTTTACTTAGTTGGTTTATTTGATACAGAAGAAGCAGAGAAGAAGATTTTCAAAAAATAAATGCATTTTCACTATACAATCAACAGAGCCCCACCCTAATACCAGAACCCCTGACCCTGGGGCCATGAATTTCAAAATTTTAATAGAGGCACTCTTGCTCATCATAACTATGTACTTAATTAGTTTATTTAATACTCAGGAACAGAGAAGAAGATTTTCAAAGAAATAATGCATTTTCACTATATAATCAATAGAGCCCCACCCTACATGTAACACCAGAACCCCTGACCCTGGGGCCATGAATTTCACAATATAGGTAGAGGACTCAATTCTGATTACAATCATACCAACAGTTTGACTGCTTGATGTCCAGGAGTAAAGAAGAAGATTTTTAAAGATTGCACTAATTTTAGTGGTTTTGGCCCCACCCCCTAGGCCCCAGGGGGGCAGGGACTATGAAATTCACAATTTTTGTTCCCCTTCATCCACAAATGCTATATGCCAAAATTGGTTGAAATTGGTTTCAGAGAAGAAGCTGAAAATGTTTAAATGTTAACGCACGACGAACGACGCACGACGAACGACGACAGACAAAAACAGATAGCAATAGGTCACCTGAGTTTACTCAGGTGACCTAAAAATTAAATCTGTAGATATCTTTTTCTACATTAAGAAAATTTAGGATAGGGAAGTAGAAAACTCTGAAATTTTTTAAACAGAAAAAAAAATGAAACTGAATATAGCAAGTAACCTTTTTAAGTCCCCCTCTTCCTTGGAAATTCCTAATCTGCAGCATCAGCTCTTCCCGCGGGTCCAGCTTGGGTTCGAACCTCTTGCTGCTTTTCCTCTTGGACTTCTTCTCCTTGTCCAGAGAATCTGATTTCATCCTCATCTGAGGCATTACTGGGGGGCTAGGAATCGTATCCTGTCTGCTAGACACTTCTGTCTTATCAATACTGTTTCTGGGAGAATCAGTTGGCTTAGTTTGAGCTTGAGCGGCTAGTGTCTCCATGCTTTTCTGCATTTGAGCAAGCATTTGTTTCTGAATCTCAATTTGGCTCTTCAGCTGGTTTTGGAGTTGTAGTGAGTTTTCGTCTGTTGGAACGGGTTGGGATGCCAGAAGGTTTTGATTTTGTTCCAACTGAGTTTGCCAAATTTGGAATTGCTGTTGCATTTGTCCTAGTGGGTCTATTTCTTGTTCTATACTGGCTACACTGTCTCGAGCGGAATTTGGAGCAGAGTCATTGTTGTTCAGACTATCTCGAGCTGAATTTTGAGAAGACTTACTACTCACACTATCTCGAGCCGAATTCGGAGCAGATTCATTGTTATTCACACTGTCTTCATTAATATCACTATTCACTGGTCCTGAAACACCATCAGTCACATCTTTCGAAAGATCGAGTTTCTCAATCACAATTTTTTCCTCCTTTTTGGGGACTTGGTCAGAAGACCTCACAACAGAGAAGTTCATGAATGAGATGGATTTCTCCTCCATCACATGTTCCTGCTCTCCTTCAGAGCTGGGAGTGAAACTCAGTTCATTACACCTATCCTTAATACTTCCATTGCGACTCTCCTTGAGTGGGGTGATCAAGACGTTTTCATCCCCGTCGGACTTGAATCGAGATCGAAGTTCCTCCAAGACCAACACAGGAGAAGTCACAACAGCAGGGGATTTTCTACCTGATCGTCTTTTCACCTCCTCTGCAGGCTTTGCCTTTGTCTCTACATTCAGATTCAGAGTCTGTGGTTTTTTCTTCTTTGGTCCCGTGAAATCCACATTTTGTAAATCGTCAAATGTTAACACAAACTCCTCTTTCTCTTGCTTCACTTTGGGTTTTTCTTCAGTCTTTGCAACTTTGGTCTCCTGAACTTTTTTCACAATGTCTACTTTCTGAACTGGAGGTTTTTCTTTAATTTCCTCTTTCACTTTTTCTGTCTCTTTGGGTTTCTCCACAGGAACAACTGGCATAGCATGCTCTTTAGGGGAATCCAAATCTGGAATCTTTCTTGGGCTCTCCGGTCCATCTGATGAAGAAAGGGGGTAAAGAAGAACCTCTGTAGTTATTGTCTCTGTATATTCCTCTTCCTCTTCTTCCTCCTCATTTTCATTCTTCTGACCTTTGACCTCTTCATTCTCTTGAAACTCAGGAGGAACTGCATCCACAGTAAAACTATATGTGATTTCAGACACCTCCTGTTCTCTTTGGGCAGTGTTTTTATTTTCTCTCGGACTGGGCTTTGCTGAACCTTCATCACTTGAGGACTGGAGATCCAGTTTCACCTCCTCTACTGAAATCTTCTGTCTGGATTCTGAATCCGGTTCTGACTGGATTGATTCCGGAACTTTCTGGTTGATTACCTCTTTATTCATTCTTTCAACAAAGTGAGCCATTTCATTCTTGTACTCCTCTTCATCTGAAAATGGACATCAGAATGCAATAAATTCCAATATTTTTGTCCTGATATATAAATGCATTTCTCTGCTTTATATAAGGCCAAACAAAAAAATATCTTTGTTTACTGTTACATGCTGAAATAAAATAGGGTCGGTAGGTAGGAATTTTTTTTTATTTTATTGAATTTTTTTATACACAAATTCACATGAGTTGGTTATATTACAAAACAGTTTTACCATTGTATGGTGCCTTACTTTTGTTTGGCTTGAAATATAGGTGGTTTCTTGCCAACTGCCTTACGACTCAGGGGTGTGCAATTAAAAAAAATCAAGTACTAGCCCACAGGCTTGTAACAGCAATAAAGTTACTAGCCCGAAGTTAAAACTGAGCAGTCCAAATATAGGGGCAAAAAATTGTAAAAACAAATATCGTAAAAAGTTCATTGTTGAGAAAGTCAGAGTCCTAAGCCATCCCTTTTAAATTTGAAGTTTAAAAATTTTAAGAAAATTATGTATATCTTTTCTTTTCTGAACATATTATACTATTGTAACTTACCTAAAATGAAGCAAAATTATTTTATTTTCATTTCAAGCCATTAAATACAATTGATATATATTAAAGTTTAACCACATAACACTTTGCTATTAGTTGATTAGGGGACCGTAAATAATGGAAAGAGATATCTGCATGTCAATTTACCATTAACAGAGGGATGGAGGAAATTCGGATTAGGAAAAAAACGATCGTTTTTTGAAGTAAATAAGTCAGGTAGTACTTCAAAATGGATAAGGTTAAAGTAATTTATGAACAGTTGGAGCACGCTGCCTGGAAAATTTTCATTAGTTGGAAATTAAATAGCAAAACAATGAGTGAAAATACCGTTTGTATTTCTCATGTACTATATGCTTAATTTGGATTTTTGGGGGTAAAATCCGTGTTCATGAGATATTTACACTTACCTGCCTCCTTAACTATTTGCAATTTCCCTCTAGTTCCCCATACAATGCGTCGATATATTTTTTCAGAGTAACTACGGTATCACCTCCAGTTATCCCCCTTAACTATAACTCTTCAGTTTCTCTCGACGAACTTAAAAGGTTCTGACCTTTCAACTTCCTCGAGAGGGGAGGAGGGCCGGGTGAGGCAGGTAAGTGTAAATATCTCATGAACACGGATTTTACCCCCAAAAATCCAAGTTCATTTCAATATTTCCACTTACCTGCCTCCTTAACTATTTGCAAAAGAATTTGCAGCCCAGTTTGGAGGTGGGAGAGGAAAAGTAAGTGACAAAAGTACATAAAAGGTACATAATTACCTATTTTTGCTTCCCTCTCCTTGATGAGTCCAAAATTGCTGCCTTGGCAAAAATGGACTGATGATCTGGAACATCTTTCAGATAAAATGCTGTAAAGGTAGATTCAGATGCCCAGTGTGCTGCCCGTAAAATCTCCTCTGCAGAAACACCACAGAACAGAGCCCAGGAAGTTGACAAACGTCTAGTGTCATGTGCTCTAACTAGATTCAATGTTGCTGCTTCTGCATTATCATAAGCAAAACGAACCATGCTAACTATCCATCTTGCAATAGTGTCTTTTGATGCTTCCTTGTGGTTATTCTGTTGATATGTCACAAATAACCTATTCGACTTCCGAATAGTTTTCGTTCTATTGATATAAATCTTCAATGCACGACAAGGACACAATTTTAAATCCTCTGAATCTGTGGCGAATGAATCAAATGCAGGAATATAAATAGGGTCCCATGGTCTATTTATGGTTTGAGTCTTTGCCAGGAATTCCATATTTGGTAACATTTTTATTCCTTTCCTCTCTATTCTAAAGTGACCATCATCTAAAGTGAGGCTATGAATCTCGCTCACTCTTGAAGCTGAAGCTATGGCTACCAGAAAAACAGTTTTAAGAGTCAAAAACTTTAGATCTGCTGACTCTAGTGGTTCAAAAGGATGTTTTGTCAGAGTTAACAAAACCAGTGGTAAATTCCAGTTCGGTGTCAACTGACGTACAGATGGGTGTTTATTAAATAAACCTTTCAACAATGAAGAAAGTTCTGTACTTGTACCAATACTGCTCCCATTCTGATGAACTATTGCTATTGCTGACTTGTATCCAGCTATAGTCTGTGGTTTACACTTTCTCACATTGAAGAGATACATAAAAAATTGTGCTAACTCTGGTATAGATGCTGTAATGGGATTAACACCCTGTTCTTTACACCAACTGCTATATATTCTGAGTCTTGCATCATAAACTGTTTGTGTAGATGTCTTTCTGGCATTTGCCATAATTTCTGCAATTTCTTCAGAAAATCCTCTTGACTTGTGTTGCAATTTGACAGTTTCCATGCTACAAGATTGAGAGTTTCTAGGTTTTGATGGAAAATCTGATTGCGATTTTGAGAGAGAAGATCTGGCCACAGTGGTAATTTGACTGGCACATCGATCAGAAGATCTATTATCTGAGGATACCACGACTGTCTGGGCCACATTGGAGCAATGAGAAGTACAACACTTTGCTCTTCCCGTATCTTCTGTAAGACTTTGGGCACAAGAATAGGTGGTGGGAATGCATAAGCATAAATCCCTTCCCAGTTCATTGCTAAGGCATCTACTTGAAAAGCATTGATGTCCGGAAACGGGGAGCAATAGACTGGCAACTTCTTGTTTTGTGCAGTTGCAAACAAGTCTATACATGGAGTTCCTAATTGTTGGAACAATAAATTTACAACAGTTTTGTTGAGTGACCATTCTGTCATTCGAACTTTTTTCCCCCGGGAAAGTGCATCTGCAAGAAAATTCTTCTTCCCTGGAATGTGAACAGCTCGTATTGTAATTTTGTTCTCCATGCACAACTGGAACAACTCCCAAGTTAGAAAACACAGTTCTGGTGAGTGTGTCCCCCCTTGTTTGTTGATATAGCTTATCACTGTTGTGTTGTCTGACCGTATAAGGATCACTTTTCCCTTTATCAAAAACAGAGCTTCTTGAAGAGCCAACTGTACTGCCTTTAGCTCCAGCCAATTTATATGCTTCTGTTGATATTGCTGCGGCCAGACCCCTGACGTCTCCCAGTTCTCCAGGTGTGCTCCCCAACCCTGTTCTGAGGCATCTGTAATCAATGTCAGTTGAATTGGCGGATCCTGTAAAAGCATTCCTTTGAAAAAGTTTTCCCGATTCATCCACCACTGAAGGTGCTGAATTAGGATTGGCCGGATCACTATCACATGAGTAAGAGGGTGAATCTTTGGTCTCCACATTGCCAACAGGTATAACTGTATGGGACGCATGTGTAACCTTCCCATCGGGACCAGATAAATGCATGAAGCCATCAGTCCTAACAATTTGAGTATAACTACTGCTTGAGTGTGTTGACTTATTGATAAGGTCTGCACTATGTCTGAAATACTCTGAAACCTGGCCTCTGTTGGTGTCGCAATGCCCTCTACCAGATTGAAATGTGCTCCCAGGTACTCTATATGTTGGGATGGCACTAGGGACGACTTCTCCCAATTCACTAATAATCCCAGCTCCTGAACTAGATGTAATACATAGTCTCTCTGTTGAAGAAGAGTTCTCTTGTCTGGATTGATCATCAACCAATCGTCTAGATACATGAATATTTGGATTACCATTTTTCTTAAGTGTGCTGCTAGAACTGCCATTATCTTTGTGAAGACCCTTGGAGCAGAACGAAGTCCAAATGGCATTGCTCGAAACTGGTAACTCTGGCCTAGAAATCTGAATCTTAGAAATTTCTGGAAATCTGTGTGAATTGGAATGTGGAAATAGGCATCGGTCAGATCCAGTGAGATTGCAAAGTCCCCTTTTTTCATTGCTTTCATTATAGAACACAATGTTTCCATTTTGAAATGTTGAGGCACTATTAACTGATTTAGAGGTTTTAGATTTAGAATTGTCCGAAGCCCTCCTTGTTTCTTTGGCACCACAAAAATGGTGCTGTAAAACCCTTCGTTTTCTTGTCCTGCAGGCACAGGTTCTATAACATTTTTTCCTGACAACATGTTTATTTCTGCTAAAATAACTGATTCGTGAATACCATATCTTGGTACACATGTTTCCTTGATATTTACATCGGGTTGAATCATTAATTCCAATTTTAACCCTTCCCTTAGGGTTTCTATTACCCACTGATCCTGCGTGATTACTGTCCACTTCCTGTGGAATTCTAGCAAACGTGCCCCTACCTGGGGAAACATATTTACAGACTGGCTGTGTACGAGATTTACTTCCTTGGAGTTGGAAACCCTTTCTGGTTCCCGAAGGTTCTCCTGGAAAAAGAATTTTTCCTGTTCCCTTGTCCTGAACGAAAATTGTCCTTGTTGTGATCAGAACTTAAGGCATTAGTCTCACTAGCTTTAGTGACTTTTGCAGAATGAGCAGAGGTCTCATTTACATCTGCTTTCCTCTTCCTGCTCAACTCGGTAGAGTTCCTATTTTCTCTACTCTTGTAGTTCTTATTATAACCCTTTGATGCGTTGTAAACATTTTGGGTTTCTCTAGCATCTCGTAGATTCTCTGCAGATGTATGGAGGGAATCAAAGTACTGTCCATTAAACAACTGGTTGCCAAAAATAGGTAGTTTAAGCAATTTCTTCTCCGTTGCCTTGCTTATAAAATCTACATTTTTAAGAAAAACTTTTCTTCTACTCAAGACTGAATTTGCCATCACTCTTGCTGTCAAATCAGCCATGCTTCTGAAACAGTTGATGAGGGCTTTACGTCCTTCCACTCGATCATCCTCACATTCAGCCTCATCTAAGAAAGCTGCTATCATAGTGCCATATGAAATGGCTCTGAATAAGGCTCTTGCTGAATTGTCAATTCGCCGAAAGTCATTATCTAACTCCTTATGAAAAGGAGAAAGATTCACTTTAGATTTTCATCTGAGGCATTACTGGGGGGCCAAAACTACCCTTCTGGCCTACTACTAATCCCTCCTCAATGTTGTCATCCAACTTTGGAGGATTACAAAAGGCGTCAAAGTCATCCTTTTTGACCATAAATGCTTTATCATCTCTGCCACGTACTGACCTATTTTTCAAATGCCCCGACGTAGCTTCTTTCTCAACCGTCTTAATCATATCAATGAGTGTTCCTTCAATAGGCATTTTAAGGAGAGACTTTTTCTTGTCACTCTTGTCTCCCTTCAATCGCGAAGAAATAAATGATTTTCTTTCATTTTCTAATGGATCCTCAGCTTCAAGATCAATATTGAGTACCTTTGCCATCTTTGAAACAAAACCGTTCCATTGTAGTGGATCAGAAGAATCTGGTGCACCAAAAGGCACCTCTACGGCCGTATCTGAATTGGTACACAAACCACCAAATGATGCATTAGAATCTATATCCTCAAAATCATTATCTCGTGCGTTAACAGACAACACATCTGCAACACTGGACTCAAAGGCTGACATTTGTTCATCATAAGCCTTAAACTTGTCAAAATGAGGTCTGCTTATGGTTGCCGTTTTGGAATTGGTGGTCTCATTTCCTCTGGTCAACCTTGCCTCGTTTGTTGCAAATGCCGATATGTTATGTTGATCATTAAAATTTTCATCAACATTCTTTTGTTTAAGTAACAATTCGACCTGCTGTCTTACTTGTTCTTGAATAATTGCGGATAAATCCACGACGTCGGGTCTGTTACGTTCGGCATTCAGTAAGGCATTGTCGTTTGACTCCTGGACTGCCGCCTCCACAGACGGACTTACGTCCTGCACTGCCATGCCGTCTACACAGACGGACTGAGGCACCTTACTGTTCATTTTAATTGTTTTCTGTACACTTTTCTCGATCATCTTCGTTATTTTATCCCGCCGTTCCTTTGACCAGGTTTTACAAGTGTCACATGGAAAGGCCTCGTTACAGAGACGATGTTTGTAACAAAAAACGTGATCATCTAGAATGTTCATCTTACCCGAACATTTAGAACAGTCTTTAAACTCTTTCTCCATAATTACAACGGGATAAACGCTTCCAAAAACGCCAATATAAACTTTATTTTGCACTGTATGAGGAAAACCGCATGTCCAATATGGCGTCGAGAGAAAACTGAAGAGTTATAGTTAAGGGGGATAACTGGAGGTGATACCGTAGTTACTCTGAAAAAATATATCGACGCATTGTATGGGGAACTAGAGGGAAATTGCAAATAGTTAAGGAGGCAGGTAAGTGGAAATATTGAAATGAACTTTAATTTTTACTACCCAAAAACCGGTAGCACCGGGTATCAGATGATGCTAGTTGCACACCCCTGGAACTGCCACGCAATGGTTAGCAAATTACAACGAACTCGTTGGTGTATAAATATTGAACTCGCTGCCGGTTTTGTTTTTTGTACTTTCAATTTCGATTTGAAAGATGAATGTAAAAGTTAAACTGACCGGCCAATAACTTCCGGATTTTTATGACGTCCGAAAAAAAAGTTTGGGTCGGCGATGAAAATTAGGGTCGGTCGGGTAACCGTAAACAAACATAATTTTTTGTTACGCCTAAGGCATGTACATAGTCCAGTCTCACTAATCCAGGCACTAATGCTTCTGAACAAAACATCCATATTAATAATGTACAGGTTCCAGGGTCATAAAACTGAGAGCAGCTCACATTTAATCTCAGTCTTACTTGTTCAAAAGGGATTAATAGTGAAAGTGAGACTTAGATCAAAAGTGAGCTCATCTCAGTTTTATGGCTCCAGAGTCAGATTTCTAAAACAAAAATTTAATTGGTAGATATGCATGTAAATGAAAATTCAATTCCTATAAAATTTCGCTCAGTAGGTGGTGTGTCTGATTTTTTTTTTTTGTCTGGATCACTGAGACTTCATATCATAAACAAATTTTAAAAATTTGTACATGAATAAAAATTTCATTTGTTAAAATCACAATATTACAGTCAATGATGACAACTTTGAGAAGATGTATTTTCCATTAGTATTGGCACTTTAGTTTATGGTTTGGGATTCTATACTGCAAATTCCTTTTTCTTTTACAATTATGTAAAAAAAAAAAATAAGTTAAGGCCATACATGTTTTTTTTATATTATGAGCACACACTTACATAATCACCAAAAAATCACACATTTGTAAATACCCCATATTTGAATGTATCAGTACTAGCAAATAATAGCTAGGGATTATAGTTAGGGTCAAACAGAGTGAGCTAATACTGTAAGTGTATCCAATCAATTTGTGATATGTACAAGTTAATGTATACATGTACATAGGTAATTATTTTTCTTTTATATCTTAAATTTTTCTATAACAAATTTTACACATATAACATGTATAAATTACTTGTATTAACATTCAAAATTAAAATTTAAAATACAGTGCCATAAGTGTTTTTTTTTTTTTGTCTGCAATTTCTCAATCATGAGTGAGATGTATAAATTGTTTATTCTTTGATTGGCCATTTTAGCCTAAGATGGATGAATATAAAGGTAATATAGGTTATAGTTCATGCAAGAGCTAGTGCTGAATATAGATACTTCAAGATTATTATTCATATTAATATGACCTGTGCAAGGTTAGGGCACACACAACACAATATTAATATTCAAACCACACACTTGACTGTCAGAATATCCCGTTTTACACCTGTCCCTGCAGGTTAGCAGTTGGGGACTACTTTTATACCTTCCTCACTGGACTCTTCCAACATGGCTTCCTGTCCTGCCAAGATGGCCATCTCAAAACCCATGTTGATTTCATCGATAGTGGTAACAGAAGTCATGCTTGTCCGACTTTCCGCTCGACTATGCACTGTGGGGCAACAGGAGACATATAAACCAACAGAAAGCAGGGGTCCCATCAAAGCTTATCTGGAGGGGGACCATTTCAAAAATTCAAAATGTTTCTTTACCCCCCCCTTTCCAAATTCATTACTAAGCAGAACTTTACATTGGACAAATTACAGCTTTTATAGAATTCATTATTTCTTTGTCAAAAGCAAGGTCATAAATTTCAATAAAGTCTAGGTTTCTTCCAGAAGAGCTTTAGAGATACAACAGCATTATAACAGAGGTAAGATATTGACCAATCATCGTTCAGTGTTACTTTGAATTTTTAACCAATCAAATAAAATTGCCAAAATTTTAAATCTCCACCAATCAAATTCAGTATTTTAAGACTTCTTTTTCTTCTTAATTCAATAACACTGAACATGAACATGTGAACATGCTTTTAGTGCACCAAAAGGAATTTTAATAACAATATAATTATTAAATTTCCCTTAAAGATAAAATATTTTATAACCATATTTTAGTAAACAGCATTCTTTAATGTCTAAATGTAAAGACACTAAAACCAGTTTTATTTTGCTATATAAATAATTTTTTTTTAATTTGAGTGTAATGAAAAAATATATGAATTATCGTCATGCGACATGCAATTGACCTAAAAAATTGTACTTGTATCTGGGTTGTTACGTAATAACAATGCAACAGTAAACTAATACCAGTTTTGTTTAGTAATATTAGAATATCGAAAGTTAAATGCATGTGTAACTGATTAGTGAACATTAATAAGGTTAACCACATGGTTAATTTTTTTGGCTACATTTTTATATTGTAGTAAAATGAAGCCAGCTTTAGCATATATTAAGTAAGGGATACATTGTACATGTTATTTCTATACTAACAATTTATTATTATGCTGCTATTTTACACTCGTTTTTAATTTTAACTTTTGTGATTTTCACTGCAAGCGATGTGTTTTTAATACCACTACAATTTTCAGTATTCAAAAAAAAATTTCCAGTTTTATTCTTGCTATTTTTTAATTATAGCACTGCAGATTTGGTCGAGACTAATCTAGGTTACTAGCAATGGATGAAAGAAAAAAATAAATGGTGAATTTATTTGTATTGGGTTTAAAATGTGGTAAATTGAAGCTCAAGGTTATACGCCATATTGTAAAGTGATTGGCTAAATTTTTCTATACAGTGTATAATAAGTGTACAAGTAATACATGGGGTCATATATATAAAACAACAAAAATTCTATAATAACTCAAGCCTTATTATTTAGCTTACTTGTGTGCCTGATGCCTGACTGAAACTCTAGAAATTCAAAAAATTGTGAAAATAAATATGATGCATACTAAAGGCAAATTAAGCCTGATGATATATGAGTGCTGAAAAATATTATACTTGACATTGTACAAAATATTCACTTCGCAGTTTGCGAGACAGCTACCTTAATTCCTAAACATGTACAATACATATACATGTATCAATAATGTTAATCTATAATTATTAATTAAAAAACCAAAGAACCTCATAAGTGAGGGTACTCAACCTAGTAAGAAAAGGGAAAACTATTGAATTTCTACATTATATGATCTAAAGATTGAAGAAAAGGTATTTGAAACTATCTTATTTCAGTGAGATAATTTTCCTTGCAACCACTGTACCAACTTCCAAGAAAGAAAAACTAAACTAGACAGTCCTATTGAAATTCTTAGAAAACTTTACCCCAACCACTAAGATTCAAAAAATTATGCTAAACAGTTTATAGCTATTTCTGTGCATAGAAAAAGTTTGATTTATAAATACATGTATATAATAGAACTAAAGTTAAAACATGGAAAATATATTTTCTTGTAGGGTTGCTCAGCTCTTATTGAGTACAAGAAAGAAATTGATGTATGCATGTATATATCAATGCGATTCTTTTTTGTGTTTTTTTTTTTAAATATATCTCCTCCAAAATTTATACTTACCATTATTAAAACAGTTTCCATAAATATGTTTAATTTATAAACCTTATAAAAGTGCCATAAAAAGAAATATACATACTAGGAGAACTCTTTGGACTTCCTTGATCGAAAGAGGCACTATCGTCACTGGTTTCTGTGCCGATATCCACGGTATCAACCTTGACCCCCATGATGTCGCTGTAACGTACGATTTCTCCATCCTCCGGAGGCGGTTCGTCGGGAGGGGGCGGGGCTACGAAGGCACATGGGCGGAGCGACCGTTGCTGATCCACTTCCTCCACTGTCAGGTCTCTGTTCTCCACCATCATCATTTGATCCTCCTCAAGGTCATCGCCAAGGTGATTGTCAAGGTCGTCCAAAACTGCATGGATGGCTACTGTGTCATCCTCTGATTTACAAAGAAAAACATATTTTTATTCACTGAAATTTATTGATATTTATGTCATATTGCAAAAATACTGGTAATTTGATTTTCAAAAAGTGCTTGCGATTCAAAATTTTGCGAAGTATGATAATCAAAGTAAACAAAATATCAGCAGGAGAAAAAAAAGTGATTCCAAGTGAAAGTGGTGAATTTCTGTCTAACTTTATGAACAGGGTTCGACACTAACATTTTTAGGCTTTGGCCCGGTCGGACTAGTGCCTCTTTACTTTTACTAGTCCGCGGGCAATTTTATTAGTCCGTCAAAAATAAAAATAAATACAGTCAATGCTCGAATTATCGCCATTCGATTCATCGCCATTTTCGCAATACCGCCATGATTTCCCAAGAACGTTTTTCCTGCTATATAAAATTCTCTTTATAACGCCAAAATCGCATACCGCCATCCGCCACCCTGTTTTCACAACAAACGTCCATTTTTAAGTGTCAATTATCTCGATAATACCGCCACAGGTGTATGTGGTCAGTGAAGCGCGTCTAATTGGTTGACGCTATCCCTGTTGTAAAGCAGGCAAAGCCAATCAAGGTACATGTACATGCAATTAAGTATACAATGATTTTAACATGAACTGTTAGAATAATTTTGTTTTCTTTTTAATAAAATCATTTAGTCAAGGCTTCGCCACGAAAGCGGTCGTTGTAAAGTACGACGATAACGATATTATTTTGATGATCTCTGCTTTTAAAAACAATGCAAGGTTTGTTTAGAAAATAATTCTAAGTCAGAAATTGTGAACGTTTCATTAACAATGATTTCATAAACAATGAATTTATTCAAGAACTTATTTTACGTACTTTAGGCAATATATCATGACGATCGACCCAGCATTTTTTTTTTTCAATATCAGACGTGCAGATTTACATACATACACATATACTTGTCTTAATTTCATAACTGAATACTTTGTTTTAGCGAAATTGTACATAAAAAATTACTTGAAGTATTTTCAAATTTAGAAATATGTTTATATATACATGTACATGTGATAATAAGAATAGAAACGCTAAATGGTATTTCTAAGAAGGATAACTCTACGTCTTTTCTCCTAAAAGATGGAAAATTCAATTCATCGCCAAATTCATTATACCGCCATGATTTCTAAATTACAAAAGGTGGCGGTTTATCGAGAATTAACTGTAAATAGAATTAATGTTGCAATGTACTTTTCATACATTTTTGAAATAAACAAAGCATTTACATGAAATATTTATACCAAGAATTCGTGAAATCTCACAATCAGGAACTACGATCGTATTCCCGATCTCATTCGTTTTTCTCTATACATGATTACATCATCTAAACATCCGACATCTTTCTTCATGTGTCATACTAAATCACGATTGCTAAAATGTTTAATTTCATACCAATGAGTTCTAAAATTAAGCGCTGAATTGACTCAGAATTACCTAACTTCCCGCCAAGAAGCTAGAAAGCTAAAAATAAATACGGGGTTTTCCAGTGAAAGTTGTCGAAAATTTGAAAATCTCTTTTTTTCCATCAGAAAACTTTATTAGTCTGTTTGGACTAATTAGATACAATTTTTATTAGTCCGAATGAAAATGTATTAGTGTGAGACTAACGGACTAACGTTAATGTCAAACCCTGATGAATCAATTTTTTAAAGTTTATATTAGCTCTCTTTCTGATTACTAGCAGCTTATGGTTTAGAAACATGCATCTGATTATGAAATGAAGAAGTGCAGGACTGCACTTTACCAATTAGTGTATTCAGTCATTGATCATTAAAACAACTTTTCTTTGATTCTATCATGTCTATTAAGTATTTCTAATTGATTATTTGATACTAGCTAGTATAGATAACTAATGAAAACACTTCAAAACATTTAATAAAGCAAAATTTCAATACTCAGAAAAAAAAATTTCTTTCCTGGGAAATTTTTCTTTCATATGTGAATATCAAAAAGAAATCAATATCAATTTTTCCCATCTTTTTTCACTCTTAAAAATTTAAATTTTTTTTCACGTCTTGAAATGTAACTTACCAAAAAGAACCCTGACCTGTGACCCCAGGTCACTAACAAATCATCACTTACTTTTCAGAGTCACTAACCAGTCAGCACTTACTTTTCTGAGAGGTGGGTCGAGGGGAAGAGGTAGCAGCAGGGGTTGTAGAAGTATCGGAGGATTTCCGAGCGGGTTTGGGGATAGCTGTCTTTTGAGAAACGGAGGTCGTTATGGAGGGTGGAACTTGACCTAGAGAGAGGGGTGCAAAAAACAGAGCACTCTAAATACCACAAAACACGGCAAAAAGAGGGCCCCTCTCCACTGAAATACTACATGTTCCATGATTGCTTGGACTTTCTATGGAAGCTGACCAATGACATTTAAGCTTATACTTTAGTTAGATCAAATAGTCAAAAAATAAAGCATGAAACACATTTAAATTTTGCATCAAATCAAATGTTAAAGTTGGGAAGGTCTTGATTTTTATAGGACCTTGGTCAATGCATTTTCAACTATTGATAGGTTTAAAATTCTCTCATCAGCATCAAATGAAAGTCCACACTACCATTGAACATGTTGTATACATGTTAGTAAAGCATTGTAGTCAGTCAAGAAAGTAAAATGTGGGTTCTAGGTGTATATATGAAATGATTATGCTATCTGATTAAAATTGTACTATGAGATATTATAATTTGTTGGAAGCAGAATAAATTGATTAGCTAAAAAGAAATTTCTGGTTCTACTATAAGACTGAAATATTTTTTTCTAGCCTATACAATGTACTAAAAAACTGACATATGAAAAACAATCTACTAATCAAACTTTTTTCCTTCTACAGAATTATATCATTAACTATTGAAAAACTTTCGTCTAATTACTACAAAGTAATTTATACTTGAATTTCAAACTGCATGATGTGAAAGTGAGAGATTGCACTGAAAGAAAACAAAAGCCTTCTAATCACACCTGAAATCAGTAAAAGTACACAGCAACCAATTACCTGGAGGTGGGGGTGGGGCCTTCTTCTTCTTAGCACCAGAGGGTCGTTCTAATGACCTTGTCCTTGAAACTTCCTTCTTCCCGACTTTATCCAATGGCAGTGTTTGGCTTGACCCCGTATCCATGGTTTCAATACCGGGTCGCACTTTCCGCCTGGGGGAGGACATGTCCCTAATCCCACTATCCCCACTGTTCTTAAGCCCCCCTCCTGAGGTAATATCTGCGTTCAATTGAAGTTCTAAATTCTCCTCTATTTTGGCCGTGTCGGGCGATTCCGCCCCACTAAGCGTAAGTTCGTGATATCCACTGGAATCGGAACTGTTCCGGGAATGTAATTTCTGAGCTAATTGTTGATTGGATGATGTGATTTCTGGGATCCTTGATTCCGCCTGTGAGGGCATCGTCTGTTTTTCGACCACGATTTCTGTGGTCACTACGTTAGTTTGAGGGGGAGGGGCTTTAACCTGAGGGGGTGGGGGTGCACGTTTTTTCTTCCCCGATTTAACTGGGGGCCCAGCATGTGCGGTGTCCTTCACAGATTGAAGAGCTGGGGCCGATTTTACTTGCACAGTGGGTTCAGGTTTGACCTGCACAGAGGGGGCCGCACGATTCCGAATGTCAACATCACTGGAGGATGCTGGGATTGTTTTTGGTCCATTAACAGCGATATCTGGGGAAGATGTCACGAACATTGATTTAGGGCGCTCCGCGGCCTCGAACTTCCTCCTCGTGGTGGGTGGACTTCCTCCTTCTCTCTGCGAATTCGAGGAAGGAGGTGCTTTCCCTGCATGGTTCAGATCAGCATGCATAGACTAGATAAAATACAGAAACTGAGATGTCATGTCAATAAGCTTCACGATCTGATATAATTGGCAATTAAACTGCTTGATTAATAAGATACCATTGGAATCATTATTAATGGACAGAAAAATTATCTACATGTAATCTTGTAAACAATTTGTAAATTTGATTTTTTAATTTATTCACTCCTATTAATTTTAACAATTTCCAATTCATTCAATCTCTTAAGTGTATCACATATTTATTATAAAGAATAAACTGGTTCTGATGAAGACCAACTCTGGTTGAAACCATGAGTCAACCAAATAAATCTGCTGTATTCTCACAAAGTGTTGGTGATCTGTTATATAAATTAAAATACATGTAAAATACTTAGACTCTTACAACAGTGAATTTCTTGTCCTTTTTCAGGAAGGAGAAGAATCCTTTCTTTTTCTTTCCTTCCCCTGCCATAGGCATGTAGGGGGCGGGGGCATCTGTCTTCATGGACTGACTCCGCCCCACGGAAAGATCCGGCATGGATTTGGCACCATCGAGCATAACTACAAGAAATCAATGTCGGAATTTAAAAAAACTGTTACTGAGTAATGAATGATAGTTTCCAAAAATGTTCATGTCAACTTGTTCCTTTTTTGTTTTTTGTGTTAAAAATTTTAATTTTTTCGCAAATAATAAAATTAATTTGAAATGTATTTTTAGTAATGTTAAATCATTTGTTTGTCCATAAGAGGATACTTGAGGAGACATAACATTAAATTGATTACAGAATGTAATATTATACTATAATCACAGTACCTCAAAGCATTATCAATTCTTAGCTCCATGAATTTTCTAAATTTAAACCACGAACTCAGTTTCATCTTAATAGGGGAATAAATTGCTAAATTAATGTGCAGCTGGGCACAATCCTTTCCCAGTATAACCTCAAACATAGGTAATCAGAGATTACAGAGCTCACCTCAACGAATGTTGTCTTTAAATAAGGCAAAGTCACACAATTAACCAACAAAAAATGTACATTCCAAAAATGAAAATATCTAAGCAATTTTGATCTGATACTTTGAAGTAGACCAACATAAAAAATTTAAAGTAGTTCTTCTTCATGAAAATGTAATTCAGCATCTAAAGCAAATTTGAGTTTTCATCTCTTGATGCAACATTTGTGCAAGTTTGGTTTATACAATGGTCTATTATCTGAAAAATATATATGTCGAATTCAGCATCCGAAGCAAGTCCATTAGTGTGCATCCTAAGATGTATCGTCCATGCAAGTTTGCACATTATAAGGCTCATAGTTAATTGGAAATGAAACATACATCAAAAACTAACATTTTCACTCATCCACAAAATGTAAGTCAGATTCAGCATCCGAAGCAAGCCTGGTAGTATGCATCCTAAGATGTATCATCCATGCAAGATTGGCCATTAAAGAACTCATAGTTACTTGGAAATGAAACCTGCACCAAACACTTTAACCTGTTCACTCAACTGGAAAATGTAGGTCAGATTCAGCATCCGTAGCAAGCCCGGTAGTGTGCATCCTTAGATTAATCATCCATGCAAGTTTGGTCAACATAGGGCTTAAAGTTACTTGCAAATGAAACCTGCTCCAAACACTTTAACCTGTTCACTCAACTGGAAAATGTAGGTCAGATTCAGCATCCGAAGCAAGCCCGGTAGTATCCATCCTTAGATGTATCATCCATGCAAGTTTGGTCAACATAGGGCTTATAGTTACTTGGAAATGAAATCGCACCAAAAACTTTAACCTGTTCACTCAACCGGAAAATGTAGGTCAGATTCAGCATCCGAAGCAAGCCTGGTAGTATCCATCCTTAGATGTATCATCCATGCAAGTTTGGTCAACATAGGACTTACAGATACTTGGAAATGAAACCTGCACCAAAAACTTTAACCTCTTCACTCAACCGGAAAATGTAGGTCAGATTCAGCATCCGAAGCAAGCCTGGTTGTATCCATCCTTAGATGTATCATCCATGCAAGTTTGGTTAACATAGGACTTACAGATACTTGGAAATGAAACCTGCACCAAAAAACTTTAACCTGTTCACTCAACCGGAAAAAGTAGGTCAGATTCAGCATCCGAAGCAAGCCCGGTAGTATGCATCCTTAGATGTATCATCCATGCAAGTTTGGTTAACATAGGGCTTATAGTTACTTGGAAATGAAACCTACACCAAAAACTGCACCAAAAATGTTAACCTGCTCCAAAAACATTAACCTGGTCATTCCTTTGCTAAAATTGCAGCATCTGAAACTTTGACTGGTACAATGAAACACACTAGAACCATCTTCCATGCATGTCTAATCAATATAGGACATAGAAGTACTTAACATGACTTAAAAAGAAAACTGCTCCAAAAAACTTAACCTTAACCCGGGACGCCGACGCCGACACCGACGCCGACACCGACACCGACACCGACGCCGACACCGACGCCGACGCCGACGCCGAGGGTATTACATAAGCTCCCCCAACTTCGTTGAGGTGAGCTAATGACATAACTTGAATTCATCACATTTTTAAGTTTAACTACATCCCCTAACATTAAAGCCTATACTCTTCTACAACTCTAAAAAGTCCCCCATTTTGCCTCACCTTGAGGTGGGGGCTTCTGGGAGCTAACACACTGCCCCATGGTGGTCAAGACAACACCGGGATACACACTATGAAGGGGAGAATGGGTCCTTACATGTTGTACACTTTTGTTTTGTTTTGACTCTAACGTGCGGGCTGATATGTGTAAACGACAGGGAAATCGGGAGGAAGGAAGCGGTCCTCTTAACATGCCTCTAATACTGCGTACAAAATAAGTTGTACTGAGTGTTTACACACTAAAACAGGTGTAGTCATTTGTCATGGTGATTAAGGAATACTGGACAAATTTGTGGGGAAAACTGTATGTTTTTTTGAAAACTTTAATCCATTTATGGATCTTAAAATGGTGAATTTCTATTTTCACTATTGTAGATTTTTTTTATTATGTCATTTGAGGAAACAGTATCTGTTAAAGTACTAAATGACACAACTTTTCAGAAAATCAGTTAGGAAAATTCTTAGAATATTAAATCACTGAATCTCCTTTTCTCCAAGAACATGTAGAATATATCCTGACATCAAGAACTGTCGATAAATGTATATTTATAGAATATTACTAAGAATTTAGGAAGGAAGCAAACAAACTTAAATACTAATTAAATTTGTGTCATCTCCATTAATAGTAACTCATAATGATCATGATAATTAAATTTTCAGAGAATTCTGGGATCAGACATGTGACTTATTGATTTAATATCTCCTCTTAACATTCGGTATGTCTTAATTAAGATGTAAACATGGTAATTAAAACACATCACTTATACTTGACATAACATGTTACAATTTTGGATGCTAGGAATCCGTTTTATTATGTGCCAGGATCAATATATCCAGGGCGTATATTGTTTTTGACCTGTCTGTTTGTCTGTCTGTTGTCAGCTTTATATAACCTTTGCCAAATTTTTTGAACCAAGAGAGAAAGAGACTTCATATTTGGTATGCTTAGTCCATTAATTAAGCTCTTTCAAATGACATCAAGGTCAATGATTTTGTGACCTTGACTGTGATCTTTATGCTAAAAGTACGTAAGGGTTGCCCGCAACCCTGTGTCTCGCCTGCTGTCGCTGTGGTTAGTAAGAAATGATTGTCTGATAAACTGAAGCATTTATTGACATTTCAGAAGGAATAACTCAAAAATACAATAATAAAGAAATGGAACAGCTGACTTAATATCTAATCCCTTGGCGATTATATTGGCATTTATATATATATACATATACCCTGTAAATTCACAAATTATTGTGATGTTTTTATTATTGCGAATATTGCAACGTGTTATGAGTCGCAATAATTTGAACTTGCATTTTGAAATCAAATCCACTGTATATGTATCAAGTCATTCATGCAGAAAATGTAGGTGAAGATTACCTAATTATGGTACTGATATTGTTGGTTACCCATGATGTGTAGACTGACAAATTATCATGCCACTATAAGTTATAGTTGCTGAGATATGGACCTCCACCATAAATTTATGCAAAGTCACTCATGCGGAAAAATGTAGGTCAAGATGACCTAATTCTGGTACAGGCGTTTGTGGTTACCCATGATGTATCCACTGACAAATTATCATGCCACTATAAGTTATAGTTGCTGAGATATGGACCTCCACCATAAATTTATGCAAAGTCACTCATGCGGAAAAATGTAGGTCAAGATGACCTAATTCTGGTACAGGCGTTTGTGGTTACCCATGATGTATCCACTGACTAACTATCATGCCACTATAAGTTATAGTTGCTGAAATATGAACCTCCATTATCAATTTAACCAAAGTCATTCATGCAGAAAAATGTAGGTCAAAATGACCTAATTCTGGTACTGATGTTGTTGGTTACTTATAACCTGTACAATGACAAATCATCATGCCATTATAAGTTATAGATGCTGAGATATGGACCTCCACCAAAAATTTAACCAAAGTCACTCATGCAGAAAAATGTAGGTCAAGATGACCTAATTCTGGTACTGACGTTTGTGGTTACCCATGATGTATCCACTGACTAATTATCATATCCCTATAACTTATAGTTGCTGGAATATAGGTCTTCACCATAAATTATCATGAAAAAACTAAGTCCAACTTAAGGAAAAAATACGGAAAAATTTGAATTTTTTTTTTCAAAATCATACTTGGGATATAAATTTTTATCCATACTGAATATTGTGTCCAAATTTCAAGAAGACTGAATAAAATTTGAGAAAGTTATTGCAGTTTATAAAACTTTGACATTTGGGTTAACCAAAAGTTGGACGCCGACGACGACGACGACGACGACGGAATCTATGGTCGCTATGTCTCGCTTCGCGACATTCGTCGCAGGCGAGACAAAAATAGCTTTTTCAAACTTTGTTGATGCCCGATGCAAAGTGTTTCACGAACACATCTTGTTTTCAATATTCATGTACCGATATACTTTTAATCTTATAAAAAGCATCCTCTTTTTTTAACTGTATTTATTTAAGACTCAGTTATGCCACTTATACATTAAATTTTTTTATTCCAATCAGTCTAAATTATATATGAAACTTTCAAGTATTTAAAAATTGAGGATAAAATTCTTTTGTAAAAGAAGCAACAAAATTTTGATTGGTAATAAAACTCACTATAATAGAGCACTCTCAAATACACATTTATTATCTTATAATTATATCCAAAACATAAGTAATGTGCTAAAAAAAACGGGCTATAATGGGTAAGAATCTAAATTAGCAGCATCCCATAATATGAGAGTCAAAGCATTCTGGAATCATCTTTATATCCAAGTATTACATCATAATTTCTGTTGAAAATGTTGAAGAAATGTCTTTGTAAACTCTCTGCTTAATAATCGTGTTAATCATAATCGTATATAATGAAATTAGATTGAAAATGCGCCTAATGATCTTGTCTTTGCAATGGAATCTGCATTGAAAGGGAAACTTTCTTTTACAAAATCATTAAAGCTTTCATTTACTGGCCAGAATACAAAATTTTTATGAAAGTTTCTATACCTAAACAGTCAGCATTAGTTGCTAGTAGACTGATTCCTCACCACTGGGCAAATGGCCCACTTTGTTGCTAGTTGCTTTATTCCATACCACTGGGCAAATGGTCCACTTTGTTGCTAGTTGCTTTATTCCATACCACTGGGCAAATGGCCCACTTTGTTGCTAGTTGCTTTATTCCATACCACTGGGAAAATGGCCCAATTTGTTGCTATTTGCTTTAATCCATACCACAGGGCAAATGGCCCGCTTCATTTTCCTACAACTTGCAAAAAGTGGAAAGACTCCACTCATATTCATTTATGGGCCTTCATTAATATGGGCAATGGCCCACTCCCTATACCTACCATTAGCACTAATAAGGTTGACTTCGGTGATGGGGAGTTCCTTGGTTTACCTACCATTAGCACTAATAAGGTTGACTTCGGTGGTGGGGAGTTCCGCTATCGTTGTCTGGAGGCCGAGCTGTTGGCGGGGGTTGTTGGGGAGCTGGAACACGAGTTGACTGGGGTTGATCTGCCTCTCCTGACACAGCTGGGCTCGGACCTGCTCAAGCGTGGACTGGGGGCTGATCCTCAGGACCTTCTTCTGACCCCCAGGCAGGTTCACCGTGAACCTCTTGGTCATCTGAAAGTAAAAATTGGATTTGTTAGTAAAGGGGGCGATAAAAAGCAGTATAAACCAGTCACTAAGTCTATATAATTATATCCTCTCAGAAATAGCTCATATTAATACATGTATTTTAGACAAAATTGCTTAACCTTAACTTGCAACAATGAATTTGTTTAATATTTGAAGTGTTTGAAAGTTGATATCTATAGTAAAATATTGTCTATATATGATCTAAACATATGTACATGTATACCATGACTACACATTTAAAAGTTCAGATTAAAAATAGACAACATTGAAACAATATTTGATTTTAAACAACTGAATTTCCTAAAGGACTCGAAGTTTTACTCACATTGAATGGACAAAAGTTTGAAATACACAATATCAGGATTAAACAAGTTTCGCTGTACATTTTAAAATTATAAAATTTAGTTAGCAGACCTTAAAGAGCAGTTGTAAATTGAATTCTTACATATTATCTGCTGGTACGACTGTATGCAATAATTGTATCGTATATACATTAATTGTCTCATTAAAAATTAAGGGATTTTCTACAGATATTAAAGAGAAATGCTTGTATCTCGATCATCTATATAAATTATTAAACATGTGCTGTAAATTACCCACGGCTCATCATTTCCCTATTTTCCGACTATCCATAACGAACTTTCATCTTATAAATGTTTTAAGTGTTAACCAGTTGGTGGTATAAATGGATAAATATTTACTGAGGAAAATTTGTCGAACTGAGTTATAAAACATATGCTGAAGACACACAAAGAAAGATTGCTTGACTGGATAATTATTTCACAAGAAGAAGAAGATTTTTACAGTTGTGTTGAATTACCCTCACATGAGCTGACTCTGAGTTTATTGCAGAGAACACCTGAGCATATGCTCCAGATTTGAGAGCAAGTAATCACCATGCACACTCATAAGATGCACGCAGTGTGATAATTACATGTATATAGGACTGAAAAATTAAGATGTGAAAAAAAAGATGGAAAGGAAAGAAAAGTTAATTTTTTTTATTATGTAAAAAAAAAAAACAACAATTAGATACAAAGTATTTGGGGAAAGGGGGGGAGGTTGTTAACAAAATTAATGTATAATAAAAAATTTGCCATTATAAAGGATGCCAAATTGTCTTAATTTTTAATTAAATTAAATACATATTATAATTGTCAGTTATTTAAGATTTCACTGACTGAAAATTAATAAAAATTCTATCTTTTAATTTTTTCAATTAAATTCCAGTGAATAAATACATGTACTTCTAACTTTCAGTTTTAATTTTCATGCTATTATTTGATTTTTATCTCTTCTTTTATCTCAATAACTGGGTACACGTACATAAAGTTACTTTAAACAAAGGAATGTAAACCGCAGCCCACTCAAGTAGTGTCTAGCAATAGCGAGTGTCAGGCCGTCACTTAATTCAGGCACCCCGTATTAAAATACCCTGAAAAGAAAGCTTCCATGCTCTGATTCCAAATGTCTGGATAATAAAAAAATGTTTACTCACTTATAATTCGGGTATCTAATTCAGAAAGGTCAGCGAAATAAGAGACAGGGCCGAGTTCTTAGTTTACAAATTTATTTCCATCTGAAGGGGTGGAATGTGTAATATTTGATGGCTATTTATTATTGACACTCCCTGGAAAAATCCAACCTTCTATGATAACCAAATTTTAGAAAATTATCAGAACAGAAAATACTTTTTAAGATAAAGTCAAGCAGAAAGTCATTCAAGTACATAAAACTTCAATGAAGGTTGCATGTATACCTACAAAATTTAAGATGCACACCTGTGTTTCCAAGCACTCATGAAACACATTTGATAATGTACTACATCATTTACATGCACTTCATTTACAAACTCCTATCAACTCATTTGCTCTTGAAATTATTCCAAAATTAACATGATTACAAAGCTTAAAGTTTCTTTTAAATTACCATGTACAAATATTGTCAAAAACCTGAGGAGAAAGAAATTTGAGTTGGGGGTGGGGGTAAGTGTTGTCCTATACTATATATATACAATTTCACTTCGGTTTCTCCAAAACTGATATCTGGAATTAAGTACCATGAATATATCATCTGAGATTTGGGTTGTCTTCAAGTCCCAAATACTGTAGAAGTACTTTTTTTTCTGCGTGATATTAATTTACGCTTATGTACGCGGTCACAATTTTTGTCCAAGCGTACTTAATATAAATGTAAGGCATATAGTGACAATCTAGAAAATCCGCGTAATTTTCTATCCGTGGATTAAACAGAAACAGAAATTGAGATTCTGCGGAATTATGACCCCGTGGAATAAAGTACGTCTACAGTACTTATTCCAAAGTATTTTACCCTCTCTATCAAATGTCCACATTTTTTTCTCTGTTCTAAGTACTACCAAGTTGGAAATAATAAGGTTTGACTGTATCCTCAAAAAATGACTGTAAATGCATTTTGTACACACTGTGTTGAATTCATAAGCAATAAATCCACGTAAGCATATATTAATTTGGTTCATATTAAACCTTACCACAAATGGAAGTTCTCTGGATTTAGACATCATAACCTTGGAATCTCCAATCATAAAACTGGCCAGAAATCAAAGCAATTCCGAACTCAACACATACACCGATTTACAAAATTGTTAAATCTCCATTTCAGAAAAAAGACCACATTTCCGTATAGAATGATAGATGGGATAACCCTGGACTTGTAATAACTCAGATCCAAAATGAGCCATTGTCAACACAAAATCACATCAGGTTGCTTTTTCAGTGTACGCGAGCATGATAGAGTGTCATTTTTCCTGCGACATAAGATCTCTTCCTTTGTAAACCATTTTACATGGCTTAAAATAACCTTCACAAGATCTGCCGACGCATTTATTACAGAAATAATTTACACACCCTCTATGCAGTGTATGTACAATGTATATTTCAAGTACCCGACTTTTATCACCGAACTCTTCTGACTGGTGAAAATTGTTTACAAATCACACAAAAGGTCAATCGAGGAGGTCAAACATTTCAGATTATCAGGTATATATGGATTGGTCTGGCCTCAATCTACTCATAAAGTTGACATCTTGATCCTATCAATGATTCTTAAGATTAGGTTTAAAATCATTTTTATTTCTCATAAATTTAATTTTACAGGTGAAAGTTTAAGTTCTGCAGCATGACAGTATGTGGAATATTGATAATTAAGATTTTATTGATCCCAAGAATGCAATCTAATCTATATATATCTATATGAGAAACCTAAATTCTATACGCCTTAATAATTTAGCTATGAGTTCCCCATGAATGCATCAGCTGCATGCATGCATAACTTACAACTGCATGTTTACAATGTTAAATGATTATAACGCAGCTATATTATATGTAGTCTTAATAAAATAAAATATTTCTGTTTGCAATTCTTTTGAAATATTTTGAATTTGGAACAAATTCAAAGGGCTATCTGATATTGTTCTTCATTTTTTTTTCAAAATGTCTATTTTTTAAAAACTGAATTTCTTCATGAAAACAAGAATTTCAATCATAGAATTAAAATAGTCTACAGACATCTATCTTAAGTCACATGTACGTATAAGTATGTCCTCTTTTGAATCGGGGTAGATGGTTACTCTCCCATGGCCTACAATTAGTCCCAAGAGATAATTCCACTTTTGTCGATGTCAAAATTCCTCAACACAAAGCCCCCATTCAATATAATATCACAGTACATGATCTTTTCCTCACTCATTCAATCCTTTCTGGCTTACCTTGCCCTGAATTGTGTATTGATATGACGATCGTGTCCCACTTCATTCAAATTTTTGGCCTTTTAAAATTTCGCAGATATATACCTAAGTATTTATTTCAAACAAAGCGTGTATACATATAGAAATGTGTTGTGTGTGTGCCTTTGTATTTCTTATGAATCATTCCATTAAATGTTCACACATATAAACATAAACCCTATAGTGAATGTTGTACCACTCTGAGAATATGCTTGTTTTGTATTACCGGTACATGCTCCACTTGTGAAATTTTGAAATATTTTGCTACTTCAGTTAGAGGCTAGTTTAAATTCTGAATGACTTATTTTCATTGTGTATTTATAAATTGATCACATGCCAATGAAGAAAACTCAAAATAGCTGCTATCAATGAACTATTTGGTGGTAAACATTTACAGCTATGTAGTTGACATCTATTAGTTGTTCATTAAAAACATGCACTACATGTAATTAGAATGCGTGTACATGTACTTGACTTAACAAGTTGAATAGGGCATTGCTACTTCAATTTATTTCCTATAAGTTAAGCATTCTGTTTTATAAAATTTCCCAAAATATGAACCAAATCCTTCAATGATATAATTCTAAATTAGTCCTATGACATCTCTCTACTAATAACTGCATGCACATCTTAAAGTTGTTCTACAAGGGGAGTCATTTTATCCCTTAAATTTAATATTATGAACAATTTAATAATGTCTGTAGGCAAAATGTTGGACATATTAAATGTTTTAAGAAATATGAACAAAAAATCTAAACTCAAATAAGGTAAATTAAACCTTGGAAGTCCAGCTCCTTTCATTTCATAAAAACATCATTTTAAAACTTTTTTTTCCTAATTAATGCTAATAAAAAATTGTTTTCTGAAAGAAGTCTGCTGACAGTTATTGATAATTTCTTGAAAAAAAAAGAAGAAAACTTAAATTAATTTACCTGTCCCAAATCTGCTAAGAACTCCCCTAGTGTCATGCTATATTTCAAATTTCCTTACACTGGTCAGTTTCCCTGAATGCTCAGGATCCAGTAAAGGTCAACATTTGACCTCTAGGCAGAGAAATAGACATGATTTACAGTATTCTACCTGACATTACCTTGGTGCACCAATTATTAGGTAAACTTTGGTAATTATTCATATACTTATATGGTAGTGTTTTAGTTTACCTGTTAATTTTTGTTAGTTGATGTTATCTATGCTTGTGTGTATTAATATAATTTACTTTTCTACGTAAACTTCCTGGGCTTTTAATTACTGTAATGTAGAACATTATTTGTAAGATTAAATCGATAATTAAGAATATTATTAATTCAAAATGTGCATTATGATGAATTGTGTTTTGTATGTGCATGGTAAAGAAACTGGATCTCTTTTTTTTTTATTGGGGGGGGGGGGGAGTTCGAATCTCAAAACTAAAATGAATTAGGACATGCAGCTATGACCAGTGCTCTTCACTAACAAGAAATATTTGTACCTTTCTCATTTATATATCAAAGAAGAACATTCCCCCTTTACTGAACAGTGTAAAAAGAAATCTGGCTAGGAAAAACTGGCTTCTCATTTGCATTTCCCCTAATTAATGGTCCAAGAAAATTCACAGCTGAAAAATTTCACGACTTCATGAATCCTAACTGATTTCATCCCTATAAGTTATTCTAAATTATGCCCTGAATTTGTAGATCAAAACATTTTCTTCAAATTCTTTGTCAGTTTAATGAAATGTAGACACTACAAAGCCTTGAGTATGATAATCTAGCCCTATAATAGGCAGTATTCTAAAAATGGTTTGCCCCCTTGTTCGATGTTTCTGACTGTTAAATACATAAGGTTGAAACTGAATGCTCTGAAAAGGTGGTGATGCATAGCATTAAGGCCAGAAATTACTGTGGTGAATTTCTATTCTTTCCATGCATAGCAAGTAGACAAATTAAGAAATTTTCAGTAAGAGTTGCACATTTTACAGGTGTTTTATTCAGTTGATTTAATTCAACCTTTTTTTTAAAATGTTAATTAGAGCTCATCTGAGGTCAACAACTATTTTGTAGAACTTGTTAATCAATTTTATACATTACAAATAATAAATGTGAAATTTTTAAGAGAGCATTTGAGAGTCCAGAGAGAGGGGAGAGAAATGGGGAGACTAAGAGAGGGAGGGAGGTAGCAAGACAGATAGAAGAAGGAAGGGAAGGAGAGAGAGAAAGAAGGGCAGGGAGAGAGAGAGAGAGAAGGAGGAAGAGAGGGAGAGATGAAGGGAGAGAGGGAGAGAGACTCCAGAGAGATTGGGAGGGAGGCAGAAGGAAGGATGGGGACAGAAAGGGGACGTCTTATGGAGGGAGAGATGGTTCAGAGAATCAATAGTGGTCATGCAGAGATAGATTGTAGGTGTCTCAAATGAATAAAAATTCCTAACTAAAATTTCTGAAAGCTCTCTGTACATTCAAATTGCATTTGAATTCCATGTAAATTTCAAAGCAATGGTATCATAGCAAAATCACCAAGCATTCATTCTGCTGACAAAATCATTAGCTTCCATTACTGTTCTACATTTAATTTACAGGTATATAATTCTGAAGACATTTATCTGACCTGAACTAAAGGATGGCAGAGTACGATTTGTCATAGATGAAGACCTCAAACCAGTAAAAGTAAAAGTTTGGCACCAATGCTGGATTCAGCAATTTTGGCTGACAAACTTTGCGGTTACATGAACTAGGATATTGCAAAGTTTGATTTTATATCTTAGAGAGAGAAAATGTAAAAAAAAAAATTTCATTGATTTTGATAAATTTTGGCTGCATAAAGAGTTGGAATCTCTTAAATGAAAGGGCTTTTTAGCACAATGACACAATTTCAAGTGAATGGTTAAAATCCAAAATATTGAATTTTCGAGTTGGATCAATCAAGCTACCATATTATCCATGAAATATTCCTAATTCTTATGCATAGCATCATAGATTGTGTTGGATATAATTGTAAAACAAAATTTTGAAATATTTTGATCAAAAGAAACTGAGAGACTACAGAAATTCCTAAGTATGATTGTTACATGTACTTTGTCCATTATTAGGACCTTCAAAAGAATCCAATTCAAAATTTTAATTTCAATTAAAATACCTCATGCAAGAGATTTAGTAAGAGAATTGCCAGAGAATGCATTCATCATCCAACTGTAAGACTGTTTCATTTAAATGCATTTATGGCATTTAGTGGGACCTATAAATTAGCACTTAACATTTACAAAAATATCTTTGTTTATTGCATTTAAATGGAATTGTAACAGAACAAATAAATAATGTGTGCATGCAGAGACTTCAAGAGCAATCCAAATTCCATTGCATATCATGTATACTGCCTATTTAATGTACAACTATGAAAATTTCCTACAGCAGTAATGAATAAATTTTGAAGTTTCAAATTTAGTTTCCATTCTTATTGGTATAGACATGTGCATTTGTAACAATTCCTTTCAAACAACAGGATTTAGAGGGTGAAAATGCATGATTTTGAATGTATTAAGTGATACTGATCCACACAAATGTTCATGAGGTACCAGGTACACTAAGAAGTACAAAGACTACACATACATAAATTTTACAAAGTAGAGTATGTCCTATTCATTAGTTTTTGTCTCATTTTATGGACCAAGCATATGCTTTATGTAACAGTTGTATAACTTGATTTTTTTTTGTATTAATACAATCAATTAGTGGAGGTGTGAGAATTTTTCAAAATCAATTTTAATCAATCAATACACCTGTGAGTCTGCTTTGATGTCTCCAGTTTCACCTGCTAACACCTGAAAGGTATCTAGGTCAACAGTCAATACTAAGTGTCAAATTCAACTTCTGAAACATGACAAAACATCAGGCTGTTTTTGTTTTAAACAATCTTCTCTTTCAGTGTCTCTATCAATATCAGACATGTATTTTATAAAGCTGCGAGTTTGCTTTTATATACATGTACCACCTCTTATGAATAAAGACTTTTCTGTAACATGTATTATGTCACTATATTCTTTTAAACTGTCAATTAATACAGAAAATCTAAGACAGTCCTAAAATTTAGGATGCATCTTAGAACTCTTTCTAGCCTAGTTTCAACCAAATAAAATAAAAAGAATATTCCTGACCAATGTCTTTATAAAATGCAATTAAATTAATCACAAAAATTATTTGTATGATTTAGAATTAAAGACTGCATGTACCTGTTTCAAATTGTCTTTATAATCTATACAGTTTAATATTCAAAATTGTTGCCTTAAATTTTCTTAAAATGTCTCCTTTACAAAATTAAGTGCATGGCCTCTTCTTAAACAGGTTGGGACCAATCGCCCAAATGGGATATAATAGTCCGTTTGGGATATAATATCCCAAATGGGCTATAAATTTACAGTGCAAAAATTGAAAATTTTTATTTTGACAAGAAATATCTTAAATCCGCATCAAAACACTTAAAAAGGAATAACTTTTGGTAACCAAGTTTTTCTGCAACCTTACCGTTTGTAAAATTAATATTAATCCCCAAGAAAATACGGAACTTCCGAGGGATCAATCTTCTAAACAATGGACATACAGGAAATCTTGTCAACCAAAAGTTATTCCTTTTTCAGTGTCCTGATGCGGATTTATATTTATAGCCAAAATAAAAATTTTCATTTTTTGCACTGTAAATTTATAGCCCATTTGGGATATTACATCCCAAACGGACTATTATATCCCATTTGGGCAATTGGTCCCAACCTGTTAAAATGTCTCCTTTCCATGAAACATATGATGGAGTACCCAAAAGTGTTAATGTCCTTTTTTTTCTCACGTGAGCGAGCTGGCACGACAAACTATTGACCTGAGCGGATTAAAAACACCTTACCTCGAATGGCTGGACATTTCGGTTATTCCCGGCGGATTTCTTAGAATCTTTCTTGGGGACAATTTGCACGGTGACATATTGAAACTTGTGATCCTCCCCTCGTGTACACAGAGACCCTATGGTCTGATTAGGTTTGTATTGTTTTAATTTTCCCGTGTCCTCGTTTAGCACCTGTAAGGTGTGACCCCCGGGGTTGAGGCGGCTCCCCGCGGCCAAGTTCACTAACAGATCCATCATGGGGATGCTAAAAATTGGAGAGAGAGAAAAAAAATTTTACATCATTAAAAATGCATGAAAATTCCTACCTCTTCACTGTGGCCATTTAAGGCTGTCTTCGAGCCACCAAGCACCTGTTTCTTTTTCCTTGAAAACATATCGCTCCTTTTATCAATTTATCTTCATTCTATGCTTAAATTTTCTCCAAATCCTCTAAATTTGGGTGTCCATTCGATTTCACTGATAAATTTCTCCTTTAATGACAGTTAAACACCCAATGTTTGAATTACACCATGTTTGCCCGACATTTTCTGCTACCTGTTCCTAAACACAGCTTTGTATGACAGGTATTTAACTGAACACTACACAGTGTGTTAAGGAGAACAGTCTATACATAACACTGTGTTGTGATTGCATGCTTGGTGGCCATGAATAACAGAGTAATTATAGTCTGTTTCCTAAAAAGCTTCATCACCATAACAAAACACAATCAAAGGGCAGTAACTCTTACAGTGTACTAATACTTACTCACGAGTGGAGATGTGTCTACAATGTTATAGCTTTCAGTTTTTTCACATCACTTTAAAAAAATGTATTTAGATATATGTGATAAATGATTTGCCATCTAATGATATGTACTGGTAAATTAATTCAGGATTAATAATAAAATGTCTTGTGATAACAATCAAATTAGGATCTATAAATTAACAGTGTATAAATACACAAAAACATTTATAATGTATGTATTTATTGAAAAAAAGGTTATGAAGGATTTTTTGTATGGAAATTATGCTAATTTTGTTTCTTAGTTAGGCATAAAAAAATTTCTTTGAAATTATAAAAATTATTAAGAATGATAAATCCATGCTTATTTCATAATTTACTTTTAAAATCTTCCCCCCTTTCAAATTCCAATGCATGACATTTGTATAAAATACATGGGGCAAAAGTATTATTTTCAACCATATTTCTTTTAAATATTTAGATGACAGTAAACAATTTGAATGAAACCACTAGGAGATTTCATTCTGCATGCATTATCAATGCCTCAGTGAGCTTATGGTATTTAAGACTTTATGAAGTCTATTACAATGGAATCAGTGCTTCACAATCCAGACACAAATAAATTACAACAAATCCGTATAATCCCTAAAATAATGCAGCATTCATAATAGGTTTGACTTGAAAAGCTTTAAAAATATGTTTGTGGTTACTATCTATCTTTCTGCCAAAAAAAGAGAATGAAGTAAGAGTTACTGCCCTTGAACACACTTCTCTTACTTCAAACCTCTTTAATCAGATATGAAGCAAAATTAATAATAAATTATTAGATATGTCTTAGATTATTTGATGTACTAATAATCTAAAATACACTACAGATATGTAAAAATTTGAAAGTCTCACAAATAATAAGACATAAAATTCCTTCAAAAAAATCTTAAAGACCTGCATTATTTCTAGGTTGCACAATGCACATTATGGATTTTGATGTCTTACCGAGTGGGAAAACTTCAGAGTAAGATCTGATGACTGAGAATAAAAACATACTAACAGTACTTAACTTACTTATAAAGAAGTGGGATAAATGGACATCTTAATTAGTAAAATCTATCAAGGAATTTTTATATTTTCCCCATCTTTAATGATCAAACAAATTTTTTTTTTTCAAAATTAAGAGATATTAATAAATTGACAGTTATAATAAGGAGCTAAAAATTCATGTCCCCAGGACTTCCATATAAGCAAATCTTACTATATGTATATTCCAGTCACTTAATCAAAATCTGATAAAATCCAAACTTTTCCCACAATACAGGAAGACATACCTTAATTCCCAATTCACAGCAGCTTCAAACAAACCTTTAACTCTTTACAACCTCTGTATAGCAACGCAACACTTTTATACTTCCTGCTCTACCAGAAACTTACTTTGAGTTGACGGCGACCTTTTTATGTCCCCCGTCGGGCAGATGGACGAAAACTTCTACGTCCTCCTCCACGATCTCATTCATGTTCTCATCGTCGGGGGGCTCCGCGTGGTACGACAGGGGGTAGTGGCCACCGCCGTTACTCCGAAAGTCCTGCGGGGGGATCTTCTTGGTCAAGGGGCCACCACCTGGTTCGGGCCCCTTTTTAGTGAGGCTCATGGCCCTGCTGAAATCGAGAAAAAGAACGGTTAGATATTTATAGTTAAAATACACACTTCTTTTTTACTCTATTTTCCACAACATTAATTTTATAGTAGAAGGCTCACAGCCCTGCTAAAATCAAGAAAAAAGAACGGTTAGATATTTATAATTGAGATACACACTTCTTTTATAATTACGGGTACTCGATTTTCCACTATACAGTAAAACTCAGTTCTAACAAAGTCACTGGGACCTATGAAATTTCTTCTCTACATCCATAATTAGTTATATCCGTTTAAGGAATTCGTAAAATTTATATAACTGGGGATCCAAAATAACCTCGTTACATCCACGAATTCATAATATCACGGTGAGTAATAAACAAGTTTTACTGTATTTATAATAGGAAGCTCATGGCACTGCTAAAATCAAGAGGAAAAAAAACCTGCTACGTCTAAGGTCCCATAGTTAAAATGAACACACTATTTTTGGATTCATTTCTGTTAATAATAATAATAATATTGAGGTTGTGAATGAATAAAAAGGTTATAAGTATTTGTGTAGGATCATGAATGGTTTCGTCTTCCTCTGACTAAAATATGAGCAATCGCCTATCTTGTTACTTTGTGATGTACGTAACAATTATAGTACAATAGTTTACATTTATCTCATGACAATATGTTACATTCTCATAATATATTTGATTAATAATAAAAATAACAGTACACTGTTGAATGTGAAATAATACCGGTATAAAGCAAATTTTCAAAAATTAATTTGCTTCTTTCACCAACCTAGGAATTTTTAAGTCATAGTTGATTTTAAATCCATTGGCCATGCATATGTTTCATATTTTATGGTCCATGTCAAATATATAGAATGTCTAAATTTATAGGACCATGCAGTTACAATCGACATTGTTTACCTGTAGTTTAATTACTACATTATATTTATTATTTGTTATTCAAATATCAATGTACATGCTACCCTTAGGGGTAATAGTCTTAGCAGTTAGTGTAAGTATTGGGAGGGGGTCATTTTTATAGGATGTTTATTAAAATGTATGTGCATTGACAATTACCGATAACAAATTAATGTTCCATTCAAATTACCAGGGTCATTAAATTGAACAGCATCTTGGCAATGCATTAAATTTTACAATATTTTTATATTTATTTTAAGGTATATATAAGTAAATCTGTCTCAATCCTGATAAATCAAATTCCATCATAATTATACAGTTGACTCAGGCATCTTGTTCGAAGTGAGTTTGATCAGTTGTTGTTTCACATCCCTTCAAAATTTTTTTCTGTCATACATGACCCCATTGAAAGCTGGTGAATGTCTTTATATTTAGTCCTGCACTTGGCACTGAGGATCATAAATGAGTATCAAAGGTTCTTAATCGAGCCAACAACTAATATGGCACAAGACCTATGGTGTTGAATGACGTACCCAATTCACTTAAAAAATGGGAGCTTAAACTGCAAAAACACTAAGGCCAGCAACAGACCCCCCCCCCCCAAACAAAAAGAGAACACCTTTATCACTATTTATGCAGCTTTAAAGTCCCATTCAGTTGACTTTAAGTTTGAATCTTCAGAAATCTTATTATCTGTGCAGTAATGCAATCGCATTAGTCTTCAAATGAATATTCATTCAGAATTCCATGTTTGAAATGCAATAAAATTAGGAAATCCATGAATGAAATATTAAACAGGCTTAGGGTCCATGATTCACCCATCAGACACTTTGTCAACTACCAACTTTTATTCACATGCATGAACTTCTTACAGTGTACGTACTTGCAAGCTTTTCAAGCTTCAATTTTCCATGTGAATTATAACTAGCGGCATGACACCATTACATTAGCTGTTCATTTATGAAGAATGTCTCTTCTTCATGAAAAAATCAATGCAGACTGATTTTCAACAGACAAATCGAGATAAAAGTTGACACAATTAAAATTATAGCTGTTTACAAAATTAATATCATGACCACAATGTCACCTATTTTGAAATTAAGGGCTCAAGCAATCCATTTATAAATCCATTCCTTCAAGTCTTAAATTCATAACAACTCTATTGCATATTGACAGTATAAAGAACTAGGCCAACCCTTCCATGTATTGGTTGACCAGGTGGCCGCAGAAAGGTCTTATAAGGATCGAATGGTCATTACTGACCGTGGCAGAGTGATGACCTCTTCATGAATAATTAATTAGCGGTCAATGATTCATGACAATTTTTACCTATATATACAACTTGTAGATTGTAGAAGATAAATGGTGATTAGACATGTTAGAGGGGAAAATTAAGATATATTATGCTTTTACTTTATAAAGATGTTTGTTTGATATATGGGACTCCAAATGGAGTTTCTGCACCTTGGCTATCACAGTCTCACATACATTGCAATGCATGCATAATACATGCACATAATATAACTTCAGATCATTATGCAGTTATTTAATTCAGGGGATAAAATCAAGGCAAGAAGATTGATCTTATATCTCTGAAACTAGATTGTATATTCTTATAAAATCTCTTTTGAATCTGCATGATCGTTGAGTTTATGGAATCATACATATACAGTTGAACCTCATTACCTTGGACACAGATGGATATACTGAAATCACTTGGAAGTCCAACTCTCTCTGTATATATTTTATAATTATTTCCAACACTGAGACGACTTAGACAACAAGTAAAAATACAATGATGACTTCAGAGTACTTTCCGTCTTCACTTGCAAAGGGTTTTCAGTTTGCTCCGCTCCTCGTTTTTGGGGGAGCGAACCGAAAATCCTTGGCTATAGCCAAGATGAGTACCTTCTGAAAAAAAAAAAACTGAAAACATGCAGAACAATATGTACCTGTCTTCAACATCCATCAAGCACCTCTACTGTGTTAAATCCATATAAGTATCTCACATTTTCTTCCAAATATTATCAAACTTTTTCATTCTATAATGTCTTCGAAAAAAAATAGGCATTCACAACCACCTCCCTCTAACAAATGCATTGGGAAAACCCATCCTCCTTCATTCCGCAAACCTCCAAAAATTTACAGAGAGTTGATTGAGAACACTATACGTTCAATCCCACACTGTCTTCCACTTTGTTTAATTTCAATAGAAAATGCCAGTGCCCTGTTTATGTTAATGTAAAGAAAACACAGGCCAATCAGGTCTTCATAGAAAAACGGACCAATTCGTCACCGAGCCATGTATTATAAACAAAGTCCCTACTTGTTAGACGTGTAATTCCAAATGCAGGGTATTGTTCCTTTTAAAGCGCAAAACGTCTGACGGGCCCGCAAAAACAGATAGGGAATTCAAAAATTTTATCAGCAAGCTCTCTGCCAATCAATGCAATCTTCAAGATCATTCCCATAATAAGTTTCATTGATAACTATCAATAAACCAATAATTCCACCCAAACCGAAAGTACATTAGTTTCCATTCAACTTTTCTATTGCATATTCATTTGTGCTTTACCATTGAGTAAAATGTTTCACAAGAAAACTTTTGGTATATATATTTCGAATATTATCTGACCTTGGATGATAAAAGTGTAACAGCTTCAAGCATTCTCCAGCTTACCCAAGAATTAAATTTCAATTAAAATGAAATTTAACTGGACATCAGATAGCAGGAGTCCGGGTCAGTGAGTATACCCCGAGGGCCATATTGACATACAAAGGGAAGATTCCTATCTCTCCAACAATCCATTATCTATTGGATTCATCTGAACGTTTTATGTAGTGCTGATGGAATATGGGTTCTCTAAGCCTCTGAACTGACCTGCCCAACTACTTCGGTGTTATCTTGTCTTCCTGTGTCATCAGACACCGAAATGATGTCACCGGTTCGCAGAAACCAAGATTCCAAGTCGAACTTCAGGTATCCTGTCTAAACCAGCTATAGGCTGAATACACATCTCTTATGTGAAGAAATCTTCTCAGCAATATGAAAACACCCAACTAATGAGCTGCATTGTATAGATATGCTATTGCTTGGAATGGAGCACACATAAGAATCTCTTGGATTTGAAAGGCTTTTTTGTTGCATTGACTTTTTTCTTATATTGCTTTATCATAAATTTTCAAAGATGTGGAAGTTTGTTCAAAAAGAAGGGGAGTTAGAGGCATTCAGGATTGAGATCAGGATTTGTGAACCAGCAAAAAAAATGATCATACAACTGAATGGTCACTGTAAGGACTCGGAAAGGTCACTGAATGGTAGATCTCTATAAATAAATCATCTTTCTGTGGACACTCAATCACCACTCAGTTGACACTCAGTCACCTCTAAGTGAATTTTCAGTCTCCTTTCAGTTAACTGCATGGCAGAGTTTCATCCTAAACATTTAAGCCCACTTTCAGTTCTCAAAGACATTTAGTAATAAATCTTACATCACCAATACCCCCTATCTTACAGACATCAATGCAAAGCAAGAATTGACCAGTTCTTATATATTTTCATTATTTCTTGTTTTGTAAGTTTCAATGAAACTTAAATTTTTCATACTTTTCCAATTTTACCCTAAATGAAAAACAAAACAAGATTTAAAAATCAATATAACAAACCTGTACACAGTCTCAAAACATTATGAACTCAACTTTAAAAGAGACACATACTTGATTCTTCTCTGAAAACAACAAGTCCATTCCCCCATTGTTCAAAATCCACACAGTCTGGTCCTATATTACATGTATATGGTCATATCCATGATGTATCAATACGGTATGATATCTGTATAGGCCCCTTAAGGACAAATAGGGAAGAACATTACGCTTTCTAGCTTGGGACAAGGTAGCTGCACAAATCAATGCTTTTTATCTTATCAAAAAATAACCTGTACTGTTTAAACACTTGCATGATATCGATTTAAATAAATATTTCCTCATGTTATTTGAATACCTGTTGTCCTGATCTTATGTAATGATCATTATTTATGAATTCACGATTCAGATTTTTCAAAAATGATTTATAAGCATGCATGCACTCCCAGCTTTTATTGTAA